AGAAGCAAATTTCTCTTCATACTCTCGAATGAAACAATCACCGGCAGCAATGGAGCAACCCATGTGTACCAATATGCATGTGTTTTTTGCAGTTATGCTTGTTACAACCATCAGGAAAACTCTACTGGGAAGAGGGAGTTATGGATTCTCCTACAACCATTACGAGTTAAGAGAATTCTCTGCAGCAGCTGCCGCCGTCGCCGTCGTCGCAACCGCCGCCGCCGCCGCAGCAGAAGACTCGACACAACAGTCATATCCAAACCCTGATGGATGATTCTCCGTTCAATAGAGATAATGCTGGATTATATTCCAGTGGATTGTAAAGTCCCGGCCAAGCACAATTATATGATTTCCAGCTAGTGGGAAGGAGATACCACTATGCGAGGGAACAACATGGCAATGCCACATACCCTCAAGAGCAGAAAAGATTTGCTCTTATGAGGATGGGAGGACAACGGTACTCTACCGATATACAAGTCGTCATGGCCTATGGCTTTCCTTAAAGTCATAAAATCTGCGTCGCAACCACTCCATCACCAGCACCACCTCCACGGAAGCAGATAGGCGTAAAATGGAGCGCCAACGCCACTCCGGATAGTGGACTCCGCGTATCTCCAATAACACCCCTATTTGCCAAAATGGAGCAGACTTCAACACTGATGCTGCGTAGCTGAGACGTCTTCAACATCAACGCTACTTCAAGGACAACGACAGAATGAGATAACACATGATGGCACTAGAAGACCTATCCCAATATGTGTGCCCAGACACCGATGCCTACCGATGGCCTCCATGCTAAACTGGAAGTGCATAAGGCCATACTGGATTGGCTGTCAACAATGCTCATTTGGAAATGGGAGAGGATTATTTGGGAACACCCCTAATATCCCCAGATGCCCTAACCCATCATCGTGAGATATCTTTGTAGCTGAGATTCCTTGCTTGAGCAACCACCGAGGAAAACTACTTGGCGCCGATTCTGGAAGTTACCAGCTCCGCGTTTATGGTACCAACCCTTCGCATGGTTCTGAACACAAGGGATACATTGAGCAGCACTTCGCATGCACTGTTGTACTCAAGGTAGTGTGACTAGCAGACCGCGTGGTAGACAGGGTTACTACTAGTGATTCTGCTCTTCATTCCCGCAGCACTACGATGCCGAGTGGGTACGACTCGCGACAACACTACGGCATGGACCAGCATTCGACAGAAGCTGCATGTATCGGATACAAGACTGCCAAAATAAGCAGTACTACGACACGACTGCCATACCACCACCATTTGGTGATCTTCAGGCTTGGACGAGATGCAAGTGATCTTCAGGCATGCACAGAACCGACAACATAGCCATTCATCTGCACGTTATAGCACACTATTCCAACCATTCACATCTCCAACTACAACTTGCACCTGCCCATACATCATTGACGGCGATACACACCATCCTTCCTTGCTGTGGACGGAGCTCGCTCACTCCGTAACAACAAGCAGTTCTTGCTACATTCCAACATGCTTACGATTTCATCGCCATCGTCCACCATCTCGAAGGTCGGCCACAGAAGCACCTCTTGAACATCCAACAACAACAGAAGCATTTAGCCGCTCTTCAATACAGTTATCCACACTATAATCACGACATCTGCAAGAATCCATACAAGATTCGACCTTGCTTCTATCCTCGTTGAAGCAAAGGTCACTTTAGTCACCTTCCGCTTCCGCCTACCAGCCAATTGGAAGATCCATAATGCATTCCATACCAGCTTCTTAAAACCTGTCAAGATCAAATACGCTCTACCCCGAATGCCAACCATCCTCGCCGCTCGTGTTCGTCCACGCCATGGGACAACTACGTGCTCGGACATCGTCGTCGTCAGAATGGCACTCTGGAGCTTCTTCTTTGCTGGAAGGGTTATGATACTTCAGAGGCTGTGTCTCTGAATTCGGCATGGGTAACACCCGTCGTCCTCTTCACGACTACCTTGTCAAGCAGGGTGTTACTTCTACCACCCAGCTTTGAGGGGGGGAAGTGTGAGAGTACGACACCGTTACACCAATTTCCCCTTTCCATATTTCCTTTCTATCTCATTCCTCATTTTATCCTGATTCATTTGGTCTTTATCTGAGCTCATTTGGTCTCCTAGTCCTCCTTTTCCATTATCCTTTGGTTTATCCTGTTACTATAATTATATCACGGACCAGGCTCGGGATATACTGGGCGCTATATCTAGCGTAATCCTGTCGTAATCCCTTAAAACCAATAGCCTCGCGTGGCTGTACGCTAGTGATTCTATTTCTAGAAGGGTCTATTCTCTTTGGATAGGATAAACCTGGCTACCTGATGTATTATGGAATTATAAAAACACCTTGTACTGATTGATACTGCAACATTGAGCAAACCTTTCCTCGACACATTCGATCATGTAACAGCCGCCCTCAGGGTTTCACTAGTACATTCCCTCCTGGGACCCAGTGGCTTATGCGGCGCCCAGTCTACGCCTTGCAACAGGCTCCCCGCGAGTGGTACGAGACGCTGCGTGCTACTCTTGCAGACCTGCAGTTCTTTCCGTCTTCCGCAGACCCCTCGCTCTTTGTTCGTTCTGGCCAAACTCCGTTCTACATCCTTGTTTATGTAGACGATCTGGTCTTTGCCGCTGCAGACACCACCGCGCTGGCCTTTGTGAAGGCTGAGCTGCTGAGGAGACACACCTGCACTCACCTAGCAGAGCTGCGCCACTACCAGGGCCTGCAGATCTCCAGAGACAGAGCAGCATGCACCATCACTCTCACCCAGTCACACTTGGTGCGCCAGGTCCTTCAGTGGTTCGGTTTTCAGTTCTCCTCTGCACAGCCCACACCTCTTCCAGTAGATCACAGGCTCTCTGCTCCAGTTCCTTAGGACTCAGCAAAGCCAAGTGATCCTTACGCAGAGCTGGTGGGTTGCCTCATGTACCTGATGACTTGCACTCGTCTAGATCTTGCATACCCTCTCAGCATCTTGGCTCGCTTTGTGGCCACAGGCAGACACAGACCTCAGCACTGGTCTGCAGCTAAAAGGGTTTTGCGTTATCTCGCGAGTACATCAGGCATGGGGTTAGTGCTGGGAGGACGCAGGCCGGTGGTCCTTACTGGGCACGCAGACGCTTCTTGGGCAGACGACGCTGAGACCCTTAGGTCCTCGCAGGGCTATTGCTTTAGCCTTGGTTCAGGTGCTGTCTCGTAGAGAGCAACTTGCTCCTCGTTCGTTGCCCAGTCCAGCTGTGAGGCCAAGATCTACGCCGGTGCCATGGCGGCACAGGAGCTCCGCTTGCTGACCTTTCTGCTCATTGACTTAGGTGAGCGGCCTAGCTCTGCACCAGTACTGTACGCTGATAACAGGGCCATGATCCTCCTGTGTCAGGAGCCTCACTTTAGGGCAGAGCAAAGCACATCCAGCTACGGTAGTTCCTCCTGCGCGAGCTGCAGCAGCGTCGCCAGGCTCACGTAGTACACTAGACCTCCGGTGCCAACATAGCTGATATCTTTACGAAGGCCCTTGCGCCTAAAGATCATCAGCGGCACTGTGTACAGCTAGGCCTTGTTCCTGTTACCTCTCACCTCCTACGGCCTTGACTATGTACTGATCTTTATATTTTTTTTTTATTCTTGACTGGCCTTGTGGCCTCTCCTAGTGGCTGGACTAGTAGTGCCGCCCTGGTCTTGCCCTTGTACTGGTCTGTACTTGTTTGACTAGTCTTTAGACCCTTGACTCAGAGGTTGGACTAGTAGTGCCGCCCTGAGTTGCCGTTTCTCTCGTCAGGAACTGCACCTATGTAGGCTAGGGGGTGTGTCAAACACATATATAGCTTATGTTTGTATAGACTGTATAGGTTTATAATTTAAAGGGTACAACACTTAGGCCTATACCCTTGTACTATTTTCTCTCGATATTCTATTCTACGTTAAGACCGACTAGGGCGGGCGCGACGGCTCAGGGGGCTGGCTAGGAACGAGCGCGACGGCGCGAGGGGCCGGATAGGACGGGCGCGACGGCACGAGGGGCCGGCTAGGACGGGTGCGACAGCTCCGGGGGCCAGCTAGGACGGGCGCGACGGTGCTAGGGGCGCAAGGGGCCGGCTAGGAACGGGCACGACGGCGGCTAGGGCCTAGGGCGGAAGCGTGGGCGGGCTAGATGGACCTAACCTACTCATGATACCATGTTAGTTAAATAATTTGACAGGTGTTGCATGTGACTAAGTATAGAATCTGCAAACATGAATACTTGGAAAACCTCAAGTGTTGCCTAGGATCTTTACTGGAATGGTAGACTAGTAAGACAGCGGAAGTCTTATAGGAGTGAACCTGAGCACATGAACTTGTGGGTAGTCGAAGGTTGAATAACTTGAGCACATAATTCTGTGGAAAGTCAAGGTTGATAATAGAAAGGCATTACAAGGATTTATAGCTCTAGGGAATGAACTTGTTCGGCTAGTTGCGCGCTATGCGACCTATTCGTCATACTATAGGGTCGCGACTGTTAGCGTGACTGAAACGACTCGTTACGCCTAATCGCGTAACTGAAGCGGTGTGCTCACGTCATCCCGAAACCCGTGACGCTTTGCTGACATCAGCACTCGGGCATGTGTACTTACTGAGAAACGCGATACTGCAAGCTACACCAAAAACGGAACTTGCAGGAATGCAAAACGTCATATATCACAGCAGCTAGAATGAGAGAATGAACTAGATTGGGAGAGTACAAGGTAAAATATCCTAGAAGCTGTACCCTCTAAGACACAAACCTACACAGTCTATAAAAACATAACAATATATGTTTTACAATGAAATGAGTCATGAGTCATGAACCCCTGCAGTTCTTTTTGTGCTTGAATAGAATCACTCAGTAAAAAGTGCAGAAGCAAGAGGAAACCACTTTCAGTGGGGCATGTTCCAACACTGTAACAACCTGTTGAGCAATCAGATGCGATGCAAGTCTGACAAGATGCTGTCAGAAAGCTTTTAGCGTACTACACATGAAACTAGTTCACATTGAAACTCAGGGTGTGTACATTTCCCCCTAGCACCGCAGACAACATAGCCCATCCGTTCCCCCACCTCCCTATCCACATCCTACTGCATGCTACGGGTGCATACGGGCGCATGCTATGGGTGCAAACAGGTGCATGCTATGCCATGAACACATGCAATGCATACTATTGGTGCTGCCGGGGTGCACACATGCACACCATGCGTGGGTGCATGCTATGCTGCACATTCTTCTAGCCAGCCAGCCTGGCTGACCAGAGACCACCTACACCACAGCTGCATGTTGCATCCACCTTCCCTTCTACCATGCTATCTAGCTGCACAGCGCTACGCTACTCATCCCTCCCCTCACTTTTGAGCACCACCCAACACAACCATGCCACAACCGCAGCCCGGCACATCCAGCATCACGCACAACACCCGATCCTTTCATAAAATCCCATCATCCCATCACTCCTACCCTTAATCAAGTCCATTCACCTACGCACATGTCCCATACAACCCAACCCATCCCAGGTGCATCCGCATGCTATGCCACAGCCCCATTCTCATTCATCCCTGCCCCTTTCACCCCAAAGGGCTGTCCCCTACCGCTAGGCGTTCCACCCCACCCGATACGTCCTCCACTCCATCACCATCGTCCCCCTCTCCTCCCTCTAGCCCCTCTGCTCCCCCCCTCCTTCGCCCCTCCTCCTCCACCTCCGCCTCCTCCCCCCCGTAATGTTCCGGCTCCACAAACCGCAGCCAATTGCTGGCTTGGCTCCGGAAATCAGCTGCTTCTGAATCCTCCTCCTCACTCTCGTTCCCCTCCTCGCCCTCCCCTTCCGCCTCCCCTCCACCCCTTGCACTCCCCTCCTCTGCGCACCCCCCAAGAGGTCCCCCAGTGGTACCTTCCCTGGAAAGCACCTCTCCTTCCGCCCCTTCCAGTGCCTGCGCTGCTGTACTTGTCACCTCCTCCCCGTCCTCCTCTCCCGCGGTTACATCACTACTGCTAACACTCACTGCTCTCACTGCCTCTCCCACTTCTGCTCCTGCCCCTCCTGCTCCTGCTCCTGCTCCTATCTCCGCTGCTGTCCCACTAAGATAGCGGGAGGCATCAGAACCCACCATCATGTCTAGGCCCACTGTGAGCAATGCACTTGTGTCTCCAGACCCTGCGACATCATATACTGGAGGTACAGTCAGCATTGCCGCGGCGGCAGTGAGAGCAGTAGCAGCAGCCACGGAAGCAGAAGCAGCAGCTGCAGTGGCCGCAGGCTTCTCGCCCCCTGTTAAGCTACTACTGATCCCGGCTTCTGGTGCGGGGACCAGTGGCGGTGGTGGCTGCAGCGGCGAGCCTTGCCAAGCCAAGCCAAGAGGATCGGAATCAGCAAGCGGGGGAGAAAGAGGATCGAGGGGGTTGGCCGGAGCTAGCAGCGAGGCTTGGTCTTGCAGGGGACCAGGAGTGGTGAGAAGCGAGGAGGAAGGGGTTGAAGAGGAGGGCACGGCGTGAGAGGTGAGAGGGGAAGAGGTGGATGTTGAAGGGATAGGAGACGAGAAGGCAGAAGCGACCGAAGCGAAAGAGCCGGGAGCGAGAGAAGGGTCCAAGCCAAGGGCCGTAGCCTCAACAGAAGGGGAAGTAGAAGCTGCAGAATCAGCAGAGCCAGCAGGAGCAGCAGCAGCGGTGGCAGCAGCAGCAGGCGGTGGTTTCGACGGGGCTGGCGCGAGAGTGTCGCTGTGGCCGGGCTCTCGCTCGGCGTCGACGCGCCTGAGGTGCAGGAAGAGGTGCAGGTTCACCTCGTCCGCGCGCGACAGGAAGGGGAAGTCGCCGCCACTCTTGAGGAACGCACGCGTGGCGTTCGGATAGCGAGTGTACAGCGCGTCCCGCAGTTGCCCTGGCGGGTGGGGTGGGGGAGAGGAGGGATGTAGAGATGTGAGTATGGTGAGAAGGAAGGTTCCGGGTACAGAGCATGTTTCACTCATGACGCAAGAGGCGGGTTAGCGACCATGAGTGTAGCCGTGACAGCCGCAACAGGTCAATGCCAAACCAGGAAGCAGCCATTCCAAACACACACCGCCATTCCCCCCCCCCACCCAAGCCCTGCCCTGTTCCGTCCCGTTCAGCCGTGCTGTATTGCTGTGTCTCACAAGCGACCGTGGCAAAGTTGTGATGAGTAACCGTCCATGAGCGTAATGCTCTGCTCGGGCAGCTGCTGTAGCGGCTCCAAACCAATCCCAGCCTAATCTACCACCATATCAAGCACAAGCAGCAACCCAGCACACCCAACCCAGCCAGCCAGCCTCGCCAACCCTCTCTCCTTCTCACAAGCGACGGCGGCAAAGTCGTTGCAGTCCATGAGAGTAATGCTCTGCTCGGGCAGCTGCTGCAGCGGCGGCAGCACCACGGGCAGCGTGTTGAGCGTGAGGCGCGACGCCAGGTCGGAGCGCGCGAGGGCGTCCAGGCGCGATACGACAAAGTCGATGGAGTCCGCTATCAGCGGCTCATGCGGGCCGTCACGCAGACCTGACAGCACCACGCGCTTCAGCACAAAGTCAGGCGCGTAAGAGAACCTGGGGGAAGGGGGGAGGGGGGAGCAGGGAGTGCGAAGGGGAAAGGGAGGTGAGAGAGGGAGAGGTGGGTGCGTAGGGAGTTGCGGAGCGAGAGGAGTGTAGGCAGGGGAAGAACGTGCATGGAGGGGTGTAAGGAGCATGGTCATGGGTGCATGGGTGCATGGGTGCATGGACGCATGGATGCATGCACGGATACATGGGTGCATGGATGCATGGGTGCATGGGTGCATGGGTGCATGGATGCATGGGTGCATGGGTGCATGGATGCGTGGGTGCGTGGGTGCGTGGGTGCATGGGTGCATGGGTGCATGGATGCACGGATGCATGGATGTATGGGTGCGTGGGTGCATGGATGCATGGGTGCATGGATGCATTGGTGCATGGATGCATGGGTGCATGGATGCACGGGTGCACGGGTGCATGGGTGCATGGGTGGACGGGTGCACGGGTGCACGGGTGCATGGGTGCACGGATGCACGGATGCATGGGTGCATGGGTGCATGGATGCATGGGTGCATGGTCACAGGGATGCATGGATGCATGGGTGCATGGTCACAGGGATGCGTGGGTGCATGGTCACAGGGATGCATGGATGCATGGGTGCATGGTCACAGGGATGCATGGATGCATGGGTACATGGTCACAGGGATGCATGGGTGCATGTGTGCGTGGGTGTATGAAAGCATGTGAGCGCACATGGAGGACCAGGAGCCGAAGGCGACGTTGAAGAAGTGGGTGTCGAAGAAGGCGTTGGACAGCACCAGCGACAGCACCCTGCGCGGCCGGTGGTACGCGTACAGCTGGAACAGAAACCCGCCCAGCGACGTGCCGTACAGATGCACCTGAGAAAAAGGGACGGGGACAGGAGCGGAAAGAGGAGGGGGGAGGGGAGGAAAGGGGGGAGGGAAGGAACGGGGGGGGGGGGGGAAGAAGGACGAGAACGGGAGGGGAGGAGGAGAGTGTTGTGTGTTATGGAGTATGAATGAGAACGAGGGAGGACGGGGGGAGAGAGAGGGAAGGAAGCGGTGGGGAAGGGGGGTGGGCGGGGGGCTGGAAGACGTCTTGGAACAGGGCCTGGAGGAATGGAAGTGGTTGAGCTGGTGAGCTCTCGGATCCACTCACCAGGTACAAGACACGAGACACCGACCCAAACCAACCCAACTACCCCACCCAGTCCCCATCCCTTCCCCTCAACAACCACCTTCCCCGCCTGGCTTCCCCCCCTTTCCCCGCCCCCTTCCCTCCCCCTTCCCATCCCCCTTCCCTCCCCCTTCCCATCCCCCTTCCCTCCCCCTTCCCCTCGGCCGCTCTCCCCCCCCACCTGGTGCACCCTCAGCGCGTCAAGGAACTGGTCGACGGCTTTGACCCACTGTTGGTGCGACCACACGGGCGGGGGGTCCGCGGCGATCACGCGGAAGCCCTTGGCGGCGAGCGCCAGCACCTGCTTGTGGAACGCGTCCGCGGTCGCCGCCACGCCGCCCAGACACAGCAGCGGCGGGATGGCCCGCGGGCCGAAGTCGTAGTAGCGCCAGCTGCGGGGGTGCCGCGGGAGACGATGCGCGGGGGGGAGGGGAAGGGTGGGGAAGAGGGGGAAGAGGGGGAAGAGGGGGAAGTGGGGGAAGAGGGGGAAGAGGGGGAAGAGGGGGAAGAGAGGGGAGGGGGGATGTATAGTGGAGAAATACGGAATGGAGATGGGGGATGGGTGGGGGAAGGGGAAGAGACGAGGGTATTGTGGTGGAAAGAGCATGAAACCGTGTTCTCGTGGCGAGCAAAACACAGACATAACAGAACTGCAAACAGGCAAGACGGGCGCATAGGAACAGGGCGTATAAAATCACGTGCGGGCTCTTGACCCCCTCGTCATCCCCCGTGCTATTCCCGCAACCGAGCGCCCTCAGCCGCAACCTACCGCCCTCAGCAGGCACCTACCGCAGCTGGTTCCCTGCGCCGACGGAGATCTGGCGCTCGGGCACCGTGGCTTTAAAGTGCTTGTACTGGTAGTCGTGCTGCTGCCCCATCGCCGGGCCCCACGGAAATGATTCGCCTATCGTGACGTCCCGCTGCTACACGCAGACGCCCGACAAAGGGGGGGCACGAGGACACGGTGGCACGAGGACACGGTGGCACGAGGACACGGTGGCACGAGGACACGGTGGCACGAGGACACGGTGGCACGACGACGCGAGGACACTCCTCAGATAGTTTTGCTTGCACGTCTCGCGAGATGCAGCAAGAACGACTCTACGACCCGGCCGACGGCTTCAAGGAGTAAGAAGCGGATGCGGTGCGGGTGATGCTCAGCACGGCGTACGTACGGCTCAAGGAACCCCAGAGCAAACGATTTTTTAGGCGCCTTAAAAATCAACGAAACGCAGCGGAGACGGGAGGCTTCCCTAGTGGGGTGCAACCGGCCTGACAGCACCGGGAGGAAGACGGCAGCCTCCTCGATTCCCGCATATTACGGCGCGCATCCAGACGCCTGGCACCGACAGATCGTTGAGCCCACTATCCTAGCGACCGTTGAGGAAAAGAATTTAGGGACACACACGCACTAGTGATTAGGGGAAAATAGGGGGTGCATGGGGGACAGCGGTAGAAAAGGGTTGTGTTGCAGTAGAAAGAAGCGCGATAAAAGCATGTAACCGAACATTTTGGAAGTGCAACGAGTGGGGAATGATAAAGGAGATACGTTAGCTAACTTGGCAAAACTAGACAAACATTTGATATGTTCACAATCTAACTCCTAGGTACACCAACTAGTGTACACTTGGCATACATCAGTCACTACTCATCCTCCTCATCCTCCCCATAAATGGTATACATATCCTCATGCCCGGCATCATCCTCCTGCATCCCACTGCTTTCCTGTGTTCCCAACACCCTTGGGTGCGGATCACTAGGCAGCACTGGGTCCAGTGTTGCTGCAGGAAACAACTGTGATGGCTGCCACAACTGCGACGGCTGGGAGGGTTGTGAGGGGTGTGAGGGCAGTGGGGCACTTGCTGTGAGGTTTGCCGCAACAGAGAGCGGCGACAGGTGGCCCAATAGCGTGCTGAGATACTCCCGAGGGATGTGTACGTGCCCTTCACCGTCACCCCGTGCTTCTGCCTGGGTGTTTCCTCGCCTGTCTCCCTCCTCTTCTTGTTCCTCCCCTCTTTCCTTCCCCTCCTGTGCTGTTGAACTTCTTCCTCTCTCTTTTCCTTCAACGCACTCCCCATCCTCCTCCTCTTCCCCCATAACCATCTCATCCTCCTCTTCCTCTTCCTCCTCCTCACCCTCCGCCCACCCACCTTCCCTCATCTTCTCCCCATCTTTGTCCCAACCATCCCTCAATGGACCTCCCCTCTCCCCCTCACTACCCGCTCCTCTCTCCGCCTCCCCCACATCCCCGCCATAGATTGCCAGGAGGGGACCATCTGCCCCCTCATCCATCCCTTCCTCTTGCTCCATCCACTCATCTGCATCCCCACCAGATCCCACCCCTGCCGCAAGATCCCTCTCTTCTTCTCCACCCGCAACCTTCTTGTTCTCCGCATCCCTTTCTGCACCCCCCTCTCCATTGCCCTCTGCTCCCACACGTCCGTCCCCACTTCCCCATCTCCCACCACCATGCGTAGCAGTGTCGCCTGCGTCCTCCCCACCTGCTTCTCCCCCTCCCAATCCCAACCCTCCCTCCTCTTCCCCTCCTCTTTCCTCCTCGCCATTGTCATCCCCTCCCACGCGTCCTTCCACTCTTCCTCCTCTCTCCTTCACCGCTCCCCTCCCCTCCCCCTCCCCCGCTTCTTTCCCACCTCCCACACCCCCACCCTCCCCTCCCCCACTCTCCGGTTTCCTCCACACGCTCCCATACCTTTCCCCGGTCAGATACGCGTTTTCCTCGGGCAGGCTGAGCTCCCCAGGGGGCAGCTTGACGGGTTTGCGCACGGAGAAGCCGCGGGTGTTGCGCACGCGGGGGTAGAAGAGCGAGAGCTCCTGGTGGTTGGGCAGCAGGCGGTAGAACGCCAGGCGCACCGCGTCGCGCATGCGCGCCAGCGTCTGCTTGTGGAAGAACCCCGACGTGGGCTGTGAAAGGGTGAAGGGGAGGGGGGCAGGGAGGGGTTGGTGAGAGAGGAGGGTGGGAGGAAGGGAGGAGGGTCGGATGGGACGAGGGACGAGAGAGGGAGGAGGCCGGGCGAGAGGGATGGAAGGAGCCAGGAGGAAAATGAAGCTGGGGGATGGGGAAAGGGAAGGAGAGAGCAAGGAATGAAGGCAGATTGTGAACAGGAAACAGCCTCCCTCTCTCACACTCAGTCACCCTCTCCCACACACACACCCCTTCCCTCACTCCCTCACTCACATCGCAGGTGTGTCGCTCGGGCGGAGCGGCAAGGGTGTCCTGGATGAGTGGGAGCGAGAGGTCGCAGAGCGTGAGGAAGAGTGTACGGCGGTTGGGCAGGCAGCGCAGCGCGCAGATGTCGGGCCACGTGTTGCTGCGCGCCATGGCGGGCGTGATGCGCAGGCCCCAGGAGGCTGGCACGCGGAAGTCAAGCATCTGGTACCTGTGGGGGGGGATGGATGGGGATGAGAGAGGGTAAGAGGGGGGAAGAGTGGCGCAGGGATGGAAAGAGCGGCAGGCGAGTGGTAAGGAATCTGGTGAAAGAAGAGCCAGGATTGGAAGATGAAGGTACAGTTGGTTAATGAGCGGTTTTGAGATAGTTGGGGAAGCAAGAAGACACATGTGATGACACATGCAACCGAGGAGCATGCACTCGCAACACAGCTCCGCCAGTAGGATGGCTCGTGCAATGCCAACAATTGAGAACTCTACAAATTATGACCATCTGACCAACATTGGGAAGCAGAGTGAAGGGACGCTGGGAGGAGCGAAGTGTGCATGCTGGCACACAGAGGGAGGAGCGATGGAGGGCGGGGATGAATGGAGTGAAGGGAGGGGGGGGGGGGTGAGAGGGCGCGTACTTGCGGTTATCAGGGTTGGTGCGCGGGTCATAGCCATTGAGGATCCACTGCATGCGAAACGGCCCGTTGCAGAAATAGTATGCAAAGCGCAGCAGAGCCCTGGGAAAAGAGTAGGTGAGGAAAGTGAGGTGAAGGTGTAGGTGTGAGAGCAGGTGTAGGTGTGCCAGCACCCGTCCACCGTCCACCGTCCAACGTCCACCGCCCACCGTCCACCATCCACCGTCCAACATCCACCGTCCACCGTCCGCCGTCCACCGTCAACCGTCCACCATCCACCATCCACCGTCCACCGTCCACCATCCACCATCCACCATCCACCATCCGCCGTCCACCGTCCACCGGTGGACACCGTCCGCCGTCCACCGTCCGCCGTCCGCCGTCCGCCGTTCCCCGTCCACCGTCCACCCCGTCCACCGTCCACCGTCCACCGTCCACCGTCCGTCCACCGACAACCGTCCACTGTCAACCCTCCACCATCCACCGTCAACCGTCCACCGTCCACCGTCCACCGTCAACCGTCTACTGTCCACCGTCCACCGCCACCGTCCACCGTCCACCGTCCACCGTCCGCCGGTGGACAACGTCCACCATCCACCGTCCACCATCCACCGTGCACTGTCTACCGTGCACCGTCCACCGTGCACCGTCCACCATCCACCGTCCACCGTCAACCGTCCACCGTCCAACGTCCACCGTCAACCATCCACCATCCACCGTCCACCGTGCACCATCCACCATCCACCGTCCACCGTCCACCATCCACCATCCACCATCCATCATCCGCCGTCCACCGTCTACCGGTGGACACTGTCCGCCGTCCACCGTCCGCCGTCCGCCGTTCGCCAACAGCGTCCACCGTCCACCCCGTCCACCGTCCACCGTCAACCGTCCACCGTCCACCGTCCACCGTCCACCGCCCACCGTCCACCGTCCACCGTCCACCGGTGGAAACCGTCCACTATCCACCGTCCACCATGCACCATCCACCATCCACCATCCATCCACCGTCCACCGTCCACCGTCCACCGTCTACCGGCCACTATCCACCGGTGAACACCGTCCACCATCCACCATCCACCGTCCACCATCCATCGTCCACCGTGCACCATCCACTATCCACCGTCCACCGTCCACCGTCAACCGTCCACCGTCCACCATCCATTGTCCACCGTGCACCGTCCACCGTCAACCGTCCACCGTCCACCGTCAACCGTCCACCGTCCACCGTCCACCGTCCACCGTCCACCGTCCACCGTCCACCGTCCACCGTACATCCACCGTCCACTGTCCACCGTACATCCACCGTCCACCATCCACCGTACATCCACCGTCCACCGTCCACTGTCCACCGTCCACCCTCCACCGTCCACCGTCCACCGTCAACCGTCCACCGTCCACTGTCCACCGTCCACTGTCCACCGTCCACCGTCCACCATCCACCGTCCACCGTCCACCGTCCACCGTCCACCATCCACCGTACATCCACCGTCCACTGTCCACCGTACATCCACCGTACATCCACCATCCACCATCCACTGTCCACCGTCCACCGTCCACCGTCCACTGTCCACCGTCCACTGTCCACCGTCCACCGTCCACCGTCCACCATCCACCGTCCACCGTCCACCGTCCACCGTCCACCTTCCACTGTCCTGCATCCACCGTCCACTGTCCACCGTCCACCGTCCACTGTCCACCGTCCACCGTCCACCATCCACCGTCCACTGTGCACCGTCCACCATCCACCGTACATCCACCGTCCACCGTCCTTCGTCCACCGCCCACCGGTGGACACCGTCCACCATCCACCATCCACCGTCCACCGTCCATCGTCCACCGTCCACCGTCCACCGTCCACTGTCCACCGTCCACCGTCCACCGTCCACCATCCACCGTCCACCGTCCACCGTCCACTGTCCAGCATCCACCGTCCACTGTCCAGCATCCACCGTCCACTGTCCACCGTCCACCATCCACCATCCACCGTCCACTGTGCACCGTCCACCATCCACCGTACATCCACCGTCCACCATCCAGCGTCCACCGGTGGACGCCATCCACCGTCCTTCGTCCACCGCCCACCAGTGGACACCGTCCACCATCCACCGTCCACCGTCCACCGTCCATCGTCCATCGTCCACCGTCCACCGTCCACCGTCCACCGTCCACCGTCCACCGTCCACCGTCCACCGTCCACCGTCCACCGTCCACCATTCACCATCCACCATCCACCATCCAGCATCCACCATCCACCGGTGGACACCATCCACCATCCACCGCCCACCGTCCACCGGTGGACACCATCCGCCGTCCACCGTCCACCGTCACCGTGTCCTCCCGTCAATCTTCCACCCTCCTCTCCCCTTCCCTCTCTGTTCACTTCCCCGCCACACCACCTCCCGCTCCCCCGCTCCCCCTCTCCCCCTCTCCCCAGCTCCAACCACCCACTGCCCCCAGGCCCCATCGTCTTGTCCCACTGCCCCCGCCGCGCAGTCACCCCGTCCTTCTCCCAATGGATCTCTCTTACCCATTCTCCTCACCAAACTAACGAAACTCTTCCCCCTCCCCACGCCTCCCCACCCTTCCCCACCCCTCCCACCCCTCCCCACCTCTTCATGCTGCCGTCGTTGATGGGCAGCAGCAGGCGGTGGCGTGTTTGCATGTGGTGCTTGAGAGAGTTGCGCGACCACACCGGGCGCTCCTGGAACAGCGGCCGCAGCATGCGCACATACTCGCCCTCCTCACTGCCCTCCCGCACTGTCTCACGCTCCCGCGGCCACCCGCGCAGCTCCTGTGGGGCCACAGGGGACCAGTGGTGGGTTGAGAAGAAAGGGGGGGGGGGGGGAGGGGCAGGAGGGGAGAGGGAGGGGGCAAGGCTCACAGGAGAAAGAACGTGCAAACCCTAAAACCTGGTGATTAGGGGCGAGGCTGGGAGAAGCGGGAGGGAAGAGGGGTGGTGCGGAGGGGTGAGGGCAGGGAAGCCAAGGGGAAGAGGAGTGTGAGAACGAAAGCATGAGGGATGAGAGGGGTGGTCAAGAAGGTGAAGGGGTTTCATTTGGTGAGGATGAGTGAGGCATGTGGAGTGGCAGCCAACACGGGCAAGACCCCGAATGGAAAGCAGGGAAGTGAGGGGAGTCAAGGGGAGGAGAGAGAGAGAGAGGAGAGAAGGGCGTGCAAGGAAGTGGAGGAGAGAATGCGAGGAGAGAGGACAGGAAAGAAGGCGCAACGGAGGAGGAACGGAGGAGGGCAGGAGGGCAGGAGGGCAGGAGGGCATGGGGGCAGGAGGGCAGGAGGGCAGGAGGGCAGGAGGGCAGGAGGGCATGGGGGCAGGAGGGCACGAGGGCATGAGGGCACGAGGGCAGGAGGGCAGGAGGGCATGAGGGCATGAGGGCACGGAGGAGATACTTGAGTGGTGGAGCAGTCGAGGCCAGAGAAGAGAATGCGCTTGGACTGCTGGCTCTGAGCCACAGCAGCAGCAGCGCCCCCCTTGCCACGGGATGGCCAATGCACGGACGCAGGCAGGTCGCTGTGCCCACCCACAGCTGCTGCTGCTGCGCCTCCCTGCCCCTCCATGCGGCACTCTTCCGGGGTTAGGTGCACAACGCTGCTTGACGGGGCCTGCTTGCACGACGCGGGGAGGGATGGAGAAGAGATGGAGCAGCAGCAGGACGATGCAGTGATGACGCAGTGATGATGCAAGTGATGACTTTTGAATCAAAGCTGAGTTCAGTTTTCTGAGATCTTTGGCTATTCACACGGGCAACTTGAGTATTTTACTGTCAAACTTTTGCTAAACGTTTTGTTTACACTGCTGCTCATCTCGATCATGGCTAACGACACTGTGATGATGCTGTGAACTAGCATGTCAGTGCCCCAACCATGCATGCGTGTGGTTGTACATGCATTCAGGCACCTTGGATGGCAGACCGTACGTGCATGCTGTGCTGACATGCATGCATTTGTACATATAAACATGCAGACATGCATGCACACACCTTCGGAGCAGCAGCAGCAGCAGCAGCAGCAGCAGCAGCAGCATGCGGGTACAGGCCTGGCTTGGACGCATCGCGGTGAATGTCAAACGCGCGCAGACTGAGAGGCAGCACACGGATGACAATGCATGGGGCAGGAAAGTGGAGGTTTGGGGTATGTGACACAGACCTGCTCTGAGAGGCACTCAGAGGTGAGTGCCTGCAACGACACGAGCATGACAAACCCAGGGGGGCAGCAGGAGGGGGCAGGTGGGGGAGAGAGTTTGGGGGAGAATGCAGGGAGGGTGGAGTGCACGTGCGGGGACAAGGTGGGAGCGAGGCAGTTGAGGGGATAGGCGAAGGGGGCAGGATGGATGGATGGAAGACGCAAGGAGGGAGAGGGGTGGAGGGGCGAGGGCGGCATGAGAGAGCAGAGGTACATTTTGTCAGGAGGGCCGTCCTTGCGAGTGAAGAGCAGCGGCACCAAGGGGGAGAAGGGCGAGGCCGCTGCACGGCGACACACAGATGGGTGGGTAGGGGGGCGGAGGCATGGAGATGTGTAGGAGACCGACGGACGGAGGGGTGGAGGGGTCGGGAGGGAGATGGGTAAGTAGCGAATTAGATTATGCGCATGGAGTGCTGAGAGAAGTAATGGAAACAGAGAGAAGAGATGGGCAAGCTACAGTGGGGGCATTTGCCTCAGACAGGCACTTGGACGAACCCCTAACCAGTGGGGCACTGGAAGCCACGATTGAATAAACCTACCTTCAACGGGTGGTCCGGGCAGCTTTACGCTACCCGGGAGCCCATAGCCATGCATGACCCTACTTTGTACCTTGCACCCACTTACAAGGGTAATACAAAGGACCGGTTGAGAGATGGGGATGGATGGCATGGCAGTAAGTGGGAGGAAGAGCGGCAGGAGGAAGGAAGGTGTGTGGGCCATGATATAACAAGCTGACAAGCTCCCACTCCCGCTCCTCCCCCTCATGCAAGCACGATGCAACGTGGAAGATAACACACCAAATGCAAGTGGTGACACATCACATCACATCACATCACATCACATCACATCACATCACATCACATCACATCACATCACATCACATCACATCACATCACATCACATCACATCACACACACGCATAAACGCACCAGTGGCAGCAGGGGAGGAGTGGAGGTGGGAGTGGAAGGGGGAGGAGTGCTGCCGCGGTGGTGTGTGGGAGGCATGCAGCGACGGCACCCACTGAAAGTCGGTCAGCGCTGGGGGGAGGGCGGGAGGGGGGAAGCGGGGAAGAGAACGGGCGGAAGTTGGAGAGAAAACAACAAGGGATGGATGAGAAGGGCGAAGAGGGGCATGGCGGAAGGAAGAGAGGTTGGAAGAGAGAGAAGCGGGAGGGGGGCAGATAAGCAAAGGGGAGGAAGGGGCAGAGAAGGTTCGTGACAGGGACAGGTTGAGCTGGGATGCCAAGTGATGACGGCGGGGCGCATGGCAGGAGCAGTACGCGTTTGAGTCGGCTCAAAAGCAGCACGCGTGCCACTCGGTCAGCAGCGCACGCTGACAGGGAAAGGGCCGATAAGGGGGCTGCTGGACGAGTGGCGGGTGCCAGCGGTGGAAGAAGGGGAAGGGGGTACACGGGGGTACAGGGGGGAGGGGAAGTGGGGGAAGTGGAGGAAGTGGGGGAAGTGGGGGAAGTGGGGGAAGTGGGGGAAGTGGGGGAAGTGGGGGAAGTGGGGGAAGTGGAAACGGGGGAGAGGGGGAGGATGGAGAGTGTTAGGGAGATGAGGGTCCTCGTGTGCTTACACTCAAACCGGTACGTTTCCTCTATCCGTGCCACCACACCTACGCCAATCTCCCCCTCCTCCCCCTCCTCCTCCCCCTCCTCTCCCTCCTCCCTGCCTCCACTCCCCGCACACGGACTCCCCTGCTTCTTCGCTCCTTCTCTTTCTGTCCCTCCACCACACTCCTCCCCAAGCCCGTCCCTGCCCCCCTCATATCGTCCCCCGACCCCTCGCTCTCCCTCTCCCCCCTCTTTCTCCCCCTCCCCCTGACCCTCATCCGTTCTCCCCTTCTTGTCCCCTCCCTTCTCTCCCTCCTCCTCCTCCTCTCTCCCCCTCTTCTCCCCCCTCTTCCCCCGCCCCCTCCGCCTCGTGATGCGCACCAGCACCCCGCACGTGTCACTGGCGTCCCCATACGCCCCGTGCGCCGTCCCCCCTCCCCCCCCAAACCGCACCTCCAGAAACCGCCGGCCGCGCGACCGCTCCTGGCCGCGAAGAAGGGGAGGGAAGGGGAGCAGAACGGGAGGTAGGAAAAGAGAGACGGGGGGGAAGGGGTAGGGATTTCAAATTTACAAGGGGATTAATCGAGTAGGCGGGAAAGTGTGTGTGTGTGTGGAGGGGGGGGGGGGGGGGGAGAGGGAATAGAGGAGCGAGGGGATGGGTGGGGGGGAGGGGGGAATGCAGCGTTGGTCATTCCTCAGGTCGCTGTGGCGCGCTGGCTCACCTCCGCAATGGCCTCCTCCCCGCCCATCGTCCTCAAAGCGCGCCGATCGTTGCGCACGAACCCTGGGTACTCCACCATGAACACGCGCCGCCCCGCCGGCACCTGACAAACCACCTGCGACGCGCCATGCTCTGCGTCGCCCATCCTCCTCCTCCCCGATAGCCGCCTGCGACAGCCGGTAGGCTACTGCGCGATCGACGCCTAACGACAACGCCAAGCGAATAAACTACAGGATCGAGCGGAGGTTCTTATACGGTACTTGCGGCGGCCATCTGGGTAGCCTCAGACGGTTAGGCCATAATAGCCTCGGACGGAGCAGTCGCGTGAGTACTGCGAAGCTGGAGGAGCAGGGAAGGGGCGAGGTGTGCGGCTGCCCGCGATATGCGGCGGGTGTGGTGTGACTACTAAACAAAAAATCCCGATAAGAGCTGCCTCTGCCAAGTAGAGCTTGCTTTCCAGTGTATATCTCGAGAAGTATGGACGAGCATGCAAACCGCCAAAGGGTTGCACATGACACTCGTATCGTATTCTAGCAACAACATAATCCACCACATTGTATTGAAATGTCTAGGTACAATACAACTGTATCCGAACTCCCAACGAGCAGAATCTCCCCTAGCAAAGCAAACGGCAGTTCTAGAAGTGATGCGACTGCACTGCACATCGTGCATTCTTGAGAAATGCAAAAAAATGCATAATCAACAAGGGTGACCAAACGGGAGTAGGGAGAGCAGGGGACCAGCAATACAAGTGTGTTAAGGTACAGTCCTTGAAGGGGTAAGGCGGATGCAAAGCTCATCATAGGACGAATGAAGGGGGTTGGTTGGAAAGGGGTTGACCGTCGAGCTGAAAGAGGAACGAATAGAAACGGAGGGACGTCGAGAGGGGAGAAAGGGAGATCGCAGGGGAATGAATGGGACCTGAGGCTGCTATAATCCCTCCCTCAAGACTCCTTCCCCCTCCCCCCCCCCCATCATCATTCCCTTCCCTCCCCTCTACTGGTACGGATTCTTGCAGTGGGAGGTGAAGGGGTCAAGATCCGGGAAGATGATGGAGGGAGCAGCAGCTCTGGACCTGCGCTGCTGCGCGCGCTGCTGCAGCTCCATCTGCGCCGCCACCAGCGCCTCCCTCTGCGCCCACATGCCGCTCTTATCCGGACTCCCACCACCCCCGTGCTCCTGCTGCCCTAGCACCCGCGCCACTGGCCTGCCCAGGTGCCCTGATTGCGCCCCCTGCGCTTGCTGCAGCACGTGTCTGCTGCTCATAGGGGAGCCGTCCCTGCCAGTGCTGCCGCAGTAAGGGTCGTCGGAGGGAGAGAAGTGTTGCGGGATGGCACTGGCGGCAGCAGAGACAGAGGCGAGCGTGCTGCGGCGCGAGACAGCGCTCATGGACTTGCTGCCAACGCCCATGGACAGCAGATTGCCGCTGCCGCCCCCTGACTGTAGCCGCTTCTCTTCCTGCGCTAGGTCGGGGAAAAGGCTGCTGCGCCGGTGATGGTGGTGGTGCTGCTGCTGCTGCTGTTCAAACAGTTGTTGCTGCTCCTGCTGCAGTTGCTGCTGCAGTAGCAACTGCTGCAGCTGCTGCTGCTGTTGGATCAGTAGCTGCTGCTGCTGTTGCAACTGTTGCTGCTGCTGGAGCTGCTGCTGGTGGTGCTGCAGCTGAGCATGATGGGCGTCCTGACCCCAGGGGCCTGGATTGTAACCATTACTCGCCATGCCATCTCCCCCATACATCCCATCATCCACCAACCCTCCTCTGCGTGACCCTGCCACAGTTCCTCCCATCGAAGTCCCAACCAGATCCCTATACAGCCCACTGTCTGCCCCCTCGTGCCCTGCCCTTCCACAACTACTCGTGCTCTTCCTCCTGCTGCTGCTGCTGCTGCTTTTCCCAGGATTCGCAGCAACGGCCGCAGCAGCCGCAGCAGCAGCAGCCGCGGCAGCAGCAGCGAGAGCGGGGTCGACCGTGGCCTCGGTGCTGTTCCTCCTCCCGGACCTGCTCCTGCTGCCGCTGCTGCTACGCCCACTGCTCTCCTTCTCCCCGATAAGCCGCCCTGCCACCGAAAACTGCTCTGAATGCGGCCCCGAGCGCGAGGACGGCTCGTGCGCCGCAGCAGCTGCCGCTGCCGCAGCCATAGCAGCCGCAGCTAGAGCATTGGGGTCTGGTGCTAGAGAATCCGCCTGAATGCTGCTTCGCCGGGACAGGGACGAGCGCCGCCTGCTGCTGCTGTTGCTGCTGTGGCTGCGAGTCACAGCGGAGAGCCCGTCATCGTCACCCGTGACTGACAAACGGTGCCGGTGCTGCTGGTGGTGGTGATGGTGGCGCGAGCCGTGGGGGGAGGGCGAGCGAGATGAGGTCGACAGGTGGTCGTGCTGGTGGCGGTGGTGGTGGCGGCGGGAAGGGGAGGCACTAGGGGAGTCCGTTTCCAGGCCTGAGGCGACTGATGCAGCCGAGGAGAGATGGGACGACGAGCGCCTTTGGGGCTGAGAGCGAGAGCGTGACATGGGGCCAGGCTCCGACTCGCTATCCCCAGCCTCAGTGTCCACTATCTCTGTGGCAACCGCCAGCCCATCTCTCGACTTGGATCTGAGCATGCGACTGGGCTTGCTGCTCTGCTCCTTCTCCAGCGCCCTCTCTCTCTCCCTCTCCCTCTCCTCGGTCCGCATCAGCTCCCTCACATCCACCACTCCAGGAGGGAGCGCTGGGGAAGTCACCCTGCCACCTGTCACGTCCCCATTGGCTTTGGAAGAAACCAGGGAGTTTCTACTGGAGGACCGTTTGATGGGAGGCACTGCAGCAGCTGACGCTTCAGGTGCAGCAGCGGTGGCAGCAGCAGGCGCAGCCGAGGTGGCAGTGGAGAGCAGTTCGGCGGCGTCTACAGCGCGCACACTGCTGGTCCTCCCCGTGCTGCTCATGCTGCTGCTCCTGCCGCTCGCCGCGCTCCCAACAGCTGCCTGCCCCGAGCTTGCTCGGCTGCCGGTGCTGCTGCTGCTGGCAAACTGCTCTGCTGCCTTGCTGCTTTGCCTTGCCTCATCCCTTTCTGCCGCTGCCTCTGCCGCCGCTGCTGCCTTTGCTACTGCGGCAGCTCTGGCTGCAGCGGCCGCCCTGGCAGCAGCAATGGCGTTGGCAACAGACGACCCGGAAGAAGTGGACGACGTGGCAGCAACAGGTTGCCGCCTTGGCGGCTCTGCCTCCTCCTCGTCCTCCTCGTCTTCCTCCTCCTCCTCCTCTCGCTCATCTCTCCCTCCCTGCCTTTTCCTCTCCTCCCTCTCCTCACCCTCACTGCCTTCAGATCCTTCCGACTCTCTTTCCACGTCCCTTGCCTCGTCCCCCTCCTCGTCCCCCTCCTCGTCCCCCTCCTCGTCCCCCTCCTCGTCCCCCTCCTCTTCGTCCTCCTCGTCATTCCGTGCCGCCAGTCCGTTCGCCATGGCTGCTGCTCCAGACCTAGCAGCCTCTGCCATCTCATGCTTCCGCTCCGCCTTCCCATCTTCCTCTTCCTCTTCCTCTTCCTCTTCCTCTTCCTCTTCCTCCTCCTGAGCCTCTTTCGCTTTACTTGCGTCTGTGCTCTCTTCCTTCTTTCCATCCGCCACTCCTCTCGCAAATCCTGTTCTGCCGTTTTCCTGCCCCGCCTTCCCCGCTCCTCCTCGTACCGACCCCTCTTCTTCCTCATCCTCCTCCTCCTCCTCCTCCTCCTCTTCCTCTCCCTTCCTTTTCTCCCTCCCCCTCTCGTCCTCCTCTTCCTCTTCCTCCTCTTCCTCCTCCTCCTCACTACTCGACTCCACGACTGGTTTGGGAGGGGGTCGGGCAGGGGGCGGAGGAGCGATATTACTGAGGTCCACGAATTGCCCCATCGTGTCCTTCAGCTTTTGGAAATTCACCGGTTTCGCTAGAAACGCATCCATCCCCGCCGCCTTGCACCGGTCTTGATCCGCCTGCAGCGCATTCGCGCTCACAGCTACAACCGGCGTGCGCGGGCGGAAATCCCCGCCTTCCCCATCCCCCCCGCCTTCGCCTCCCTCCGCCCCTGTCCACTCCGCGAGCCCAGCTTTCTCATCCCCCGCAGGCGCGCCAGACACTTTAGCCTTAGCGATTTCCTCCGCGGGGAATTTCCCCGTGCGCTCGTACTGGCGAATGAGCTGCGTGGCGGTGAGCCCGTCCATGAGCGGCATGCATATATCGGAGAGGATTATATCGAACTTGGTGTTGTGCACGGCCTCCACGGCCTCCACTCCGTTCTTCGCCACCGTCGCCTTGAGCCCCATGCGCTTCAGCATCGACATCAGCACCATCACGTTCACCTGGAAAGGGGGTGGGGGGGAGGGGACCGGGGGGGGGGGGGGGGGGGGGGGGGAAACGGAGGAGGGGAGGAGCGGAGTGAGAGGAAGGAGAAGAGAAGAGTACGGAAGGGGTACATAAGGGGTTTGGAGGAGTCGCATGTCATGAGTCATATGAGAACATGAGACCGAGGGGGTGACGGCGGGCGGAAACCAGAGCCAGGCGGGGTGAAAGCTAGGCGGAGACGGACAAGACGGGGGGGGGGGGGGGGGGGGGGGGGGATGGGACAGGCGGGACGCATCGGACGAGCAAGGACAACCTAGAAAGGCGAGGGCACGAGGAGGCGAGAGATCCAGGCTTGGTATCGAGGGCCCGCGGGCAATGGGACGAGAGTGAGAAGAGGATTAGAGGTTTGTGGGGGGTGGGAGGACGCTGCAAAAGGGCGAGAGGTTGCAGAGCGGGAGGGGTGGAGACACTGAAAATGCGAACGGATGACGAGGGGTTAGCCGGGTGGAAAGGCGGTGGAAGGGGAACTGGAAAGCGCGAAAGGAGCGGAGGCATGGAAGGGCAAGGAAGGGTAAGACGGGAGTGCGAGGGGTGAGGGAATTGGTGCGAGGGCTTACTGTGTTGTCTTCGGCCACTAGAATCTTGAGCTCTGATGGCGCGGCCATGATGGCGGGTGATTGTAACGAGGGAGGTGGTGGCAGTGAGGATGCGGTGACTGGATCGCAGTGGACTGTGTCGACGGCGCCCGGAGGAGAATTGAGGCGAATTTCTGCTACGATTCAGCGGGAATCTCGAGGAGGGTTTAGAGAACGAGGAGCAGGAGGAGCGAGTAGATGCCTCGGCTGCGTCGACTACTATTGAACTAAATCCGACAATGGCGACGGGACAGTATGTTGCTGATGCGTGCATTCCGACAAGAAAGGCACCAGGAGAGGGTTAGCACAAGCAAAGCTGTAGTCAGAGAACCGGCAGCACGCGCTGGAGAAGGAATCGAAAGGTCTGCGAGGAAGCGGATGCGGAATTGGTTCAGGGCTTGAGGACACGGTGAGCGAAGCTAATACGAACATGCGCTTCGATACTGATCCTGCGTGGAGGAGCGGAGTGCGGCGTCGCGACGGCTGGGACAAGCCAGACCGACGACATTCGCAGGGGTCGCCTCGCCTATAAATGCGACACGTAGACTAGAATGCTCCGGGAACGGAGTGAACATCGCACTTGGTCTTTGACAATAAGGGCGGAATGAATAATTTAGTCCGTACTGGTTGTGTGGTGGATGGGGGAGTGACAAGGTGCTACTCGTTGCTCCATGACAGTTGTGACTCTGCTGTGCTGTGCTGAGTGACTCGCAGAATAGAACAGAACCCAAGCCCAAGAGTCCATCTGACAGGCGGGACCTTTCTCGGTGCAGAGGAGGACCTTTTGATTCGGCAGGTGCCCCCCACAACCCCCAGATAATGATGTGGTCTTCAATTTGCTGCGGTAAGTTGCTGATGAGCAACCATGGGTCGAGGACTCGAGGCACGCGTGACTCCCTCACCACCACCCGATCCGATGTGTGGTGGGGAGGATGTGATGATGGCGAATGGGCATCCACTCCATGCCTCGCATGCCACATCGTGTCATCAATGCTGCCTGCCCGCGGTTACACTTCCCCCCCTGCCTTCTATTTTCTTTCCGCCAAACTCTGGGAATTTCCCGCCCACCTTCTCTCCTCCCCCTTCTCTCACCTGCCGCGCCCAACCATCTCACCAACCCCCTCGGGAATTCCGCCTCGCACGCACTTCCTGATCGTCGTCAAGTGGACGTGCGCTCGTCTAGCGGAATCCGCAGGGCAATAAGGCGGGAACGTTCCGCAGCTGACATCGCAGTTTCCGCCTGGCTTGTGGCCCGTGTTGACGTCAGCGCCAGGGGGGGAAATCAGTTTCGCAGGGCGCAGCAGCACAACGCGAGCAGATTGTGCGAGGTCGGGGACGGGACTCGAATCAGGAGGCGAGATCGAGGTGCTTGGCGGGAGCCGGAGGTTGTTGAAAATCCAATTATGGATGACTCCTCCTCCTCGAGCAAGTGGGCAGTTCGGTTTTGCTACTTTTGGAAAGTTTCTATGAAGTACAGTGCACAATGAACGGGCTTTCCTTACAATGTTATCTTTATCAATCAACTTCGCATGAGTTGGGTGTGTTTCGAACCGAAAAGCGTCCCAAAAGGTATCCATGCAAGTACGTATATAATCGTGCATACCAAAGGCAAAAGGATTTGAGCAGCACCTGTAGTGAAGTGATGGCCATCCCATCCGTGTATCCTTATCACTGTTGTCCTCATCTCCCTCTTGGTTCGAATATAAGTCTCCTGCTACGAAACAGGTGCATCGACTTACAGCGTAAAACCAGAAGCTGTAACTCAAGGTACATTTGCCTTCCACTCAACCTCCTCTGGGAGGACCAGACCCTCCCTTGAACCTACACGCAAATCTCACCCTGAGGGAATCAACCCTCTCCCAATGCTCTCCACTCAACTCACACTGGGGGTTTAGCCCCCTCCCTTTGCCCTACACTCAACTTATTCTGGGGGTTTTAGCCCACCCCATTTGCCCTACACTCAGCCTACCCCGGGAATTTTAGGCCCCTCCCTTCTCCCTACACTCAACCTACCCCATACATCGCTATCCCCTAGACACTTATCCCTAGTATCCCAATTCCCCATATGTCTATCCGCCATATCTCATCCCCCTGTCCCCATCCCAACATCCCCATTCCCCAAAACCCTCACGCATGGTTTCTGAGGCGCCTCACGCATGGTTTCTGAGGCGCCTCACGCATGGTTTCTGAGGCGCCTCACGCATGGTTTCTGAGGCGCCTCACGCATGGTTTCTGAGGCGCCTCATGCATGGTTTCTGAGGCGCCTCACGCATGGTTTCTGAGGCGCCTCATGCATGGTTTCTGAGGCGCCTCACGCATGGTTTCTGAGGCGCCTCAGAAATAGACTTCTCACGCAGCGCGCATGAATTGCAACATGGGGATGTGCATGCGGTGGGCCAGCACGACTTAGCTTCAAAGGAGGCGTTGACGCACAGAGGAGCCACCAGAATCTGCTGCCTCCTGCCAGGTGCTCGTCACTCCCCTTGCGCCCCATGCGTACCAGCAACCTGTGGGCGGGGAGAAGGGGGGCGGGCAGACAGAAAGTGAGGCGAGGAGCAGGGCGGAAACAGCCTCAGCGCAACAAGCAGAGGACGGGCAGAGGAGCCTTCCTTGACCCGCCCTTTGCTGCCCTTTGCCGTTCTGGAGGGAAGGGAGGAGGAAAGGGGGGAGGAGGTGGGCAGAGCGCATTGACAGTGCGTGAAACCACGGAGCCAAGAATTGTTGGCCCGAACGCGCATGGTAGGGCGAGCAGGCAGAAACGCAACTGTGGGGAGGACGGGGGGGGGGAGAGGGGGGTCGCCCATGGCACAGAGGCACGAGCAAGCAGCGGCAGCAGGGAGGGGGACGCAGGGGGGGAGGGGGCTTGGAGATGGAAGAAAGACACCAACGCGATGCATGCGCGCATGCAACTAAGACAGGACTGGTCTAACCCACTAGCGACACACAGCTATGGCGCTACGCAAGCGGCTCACGCGCCCGGTGCCATGGGCGGAGGGGGAGGGGGGGAGAGGTGGGGGAAGCGGGAAACGGGAGATATGAGTGAGATGCATGGTACGAATAGCAAAGGCATAGCGCATGGGCAAACCATGGCGAGCAGCGAGGGTGTGAGTGCGGGGGGCCATGGACTTAGCTTCACTGGGAGCTGCAGAAAGACCGTCGCCGCTCATGGCAGACCGGCGCTTCAGGATGGCGCGTCATCGTTGCGAATCGCTTCGCCGCTTTTCGACCGCCGATGTCGCTGGCGCCATTCTGCGGCGAAACGGCTGCCGATTCCGCCGCTAAATAGCCGCCGATTCTGCCGCTAAATGACCGCCGATTCCGCCGCTAAATGACCGCCGATGTCGCCGGCGCGATTCTGCGGCGAAACGGCCGTCGATTCCGCCGCTAAACGACCGCCAATTCCGCCGCTAAATGGCCACCGATTCCGCCGCTAAATGACCGCCGATGTCGCCGGCGCGATTGGGCGGCGAAACGGCCGCCGATTCCGCCGCTAAACGACCACCGATTCCGCCGCTAAACGACCGCCGATTCCGCCGCTAAACGACTGTCGATTCCGCTGCTAAATGACCGTCGATTCCGCCGTTAAACGACCGCCGATTTTGCCGGCGCGAGTCTGCGGTTAGACGGCCGTCGATTCCGCCGCTAAAAGACCGCCGATTCCGCCGCTAAACGGCCGCCGATTCCGCCGCTAAACGACCGCCAACTCCGCCGCTAAATGACCGCCGTTTCCGCCGCTAAATATCCGCTGATTTCGCCGGCGCGAGTCTGCGGCTAGACGGCCGTCGATTCCGCCACTTTGACTGCCAATTACGCCACTAAATGACTGCCGATTCCGCCACTTCCTCCGCTTAGCGACCACCGAATTCCGCGGCTAAGGACCGCCGATTCTGCCGTCAAACGACCGTCGGTTTCGTCATTAATTGACCGCCACTTCCGCTAAGCGACAGCGGAATCTGCCTGAGCGCGGAGGGATGAACGCCGAGAGCGCCGAGGTCGCCAACGGGAGCGCGGAGAGCGCCGAGGGTGTCGAAGCTGAGATCCTCGACGCCGGTTAGGAAGGCTCGGGCTCACGGCGTTTCGCGCGCAGCGCAGAGCGTGGCGAGTTGAGTGCAGCGAGTTGAGCGCGTAGAGCGGAGAGATGCGCGTGCGGTTGCTTGGTTGGCGAAGCTCCGCGGGGATGGCGTTTCGGGGGGCCCTGGCAACACAAGAGAAGGACGAAACGCGTTAGCGCTGGACAGCAAAGAAGCGAGGTAAGTGAGGAGAGACTCCAGCAAAGCAATGAGGAAAAGGAAAGTTCAGAGCTGCGAGGCGAGCAGGAATAAAAGCTATGCGGTAGATGCGATTATCTAGAGAAGTACACAGGAAAGGAACGGCACGCAATCTTACCTCACTGGAGAAATTCTGGCCGGAAAGGGACCCTTGACGCGGCACTTGACGGTAGGAACAACGACGCGGTATTTCTCAAGCGGCCATGGAGTTATTCGTCCCGTTCGTCCCACGCATCCCCAGCCGACGGTTGTTTCCGCGCGCCGATAAGTTACGCGTCGTTGATAATGTCGCCTCGGCGCGTCGCGGGCGGAGGCAGGTGACGGAATGGAGGAAAAGGAAGAGCAGCAGCCACGGCGTCTGCCTAAATGAGCCGTCGATGGCGAGCAAAAAAGGGCTAGTGAGTGAGCTGAGAGAAATGTGCAAGCTAGGAGGAAATGAGAAACAGAGCGAATTGGGAAATGTGGGCGGACTGGGAGGAATGGGATGCGGCTTGTGTTGTGTTGAGGAAGCAAAAGGGAGCGGGTTGTGTAGAGGCGAGGTGGGCGAGGGGAAGGGCGAGCGGGGATGGGGGCCTGGTTTGGGTTTCTTTGGTTTCCATTGTTCCGCCGCTCTGTGCTTGCCATCCGCCGAAAGCCCCAACCAGGCGGTAGTGATTGCTTGGAGTTGAGGGGGTGTGCTTCCGCCTAACCAATAGAGTCTCGCGGAGATTCTTGAGAACCCAATTGGAGCCCCAGCCGCATGCAGCCAATCTCCGCCAAACTTGGTTTGGGAAATGGCTTGGTTTGGCAGAGCGGGTGCTTCTCCCGCTCCCCGCTTGCAAACCAAACTACGCGCTTGCGGCTTCGCGATTCGCCGCAGTCGCGCGGTGTGGACTCGACAAGGCGGGGAACGGCGGAAAAGTTCACGGGGAGTTTTGCGAAAAGCCTTGTGTTGACGAAGAAACGAAACGCCTCGTCATCGAGAAAACATTCGATGAGCGAATATCGCTGTTGTCGCCACACCCATGCAACCCCACCCGTTGGGCTGCTGAATGCGCCAATTTCCCCAAAATTTCTGACACAGAGCTGAGAGCTTCGTAGATTTTTTAGGGCTCTATGAATCAGGCTAAATAGGGAGTTTGCAGAGGCGGAACTCCAAATGATCAGACTGATGGCGTGACTGAAGCGATAGAGTTTGTGCGATTTGGGAAGCTCGATTGCTGGCTCAGCCATGGAACCCCATCTTTTTTACAGCTAAACGCCAAATATTCCCTAAAGTCTGGCGCACAGCGGATTTCCTGGGGGTTTTGTAAAGGCGTAGTTCAGATCTGTATGACACCAACGAGGGGTTGCGCAGAAAGTTTGGAGGGGTCGAGGGAACGTTTCCTCTGGTTTCTAATTTTCGAACATCATTAACGTACACGTGTACCCTTCTGAATGGACTCTCCAAATAAGCACAGATCATACCTATATAATATAACGGGTGAAATTTACAACAGAATGTAGCTTTGTCTGTAAAAGGTTTTCCTTATTCCCTTTGGCGTGTGTCAGGTGCGCAGGGTATTGCGTGGTTTCCCCACAAGCCGCTCCATAGCTCTGCGCTGCTGTTGCCAAAGCAGCCACTGGCGCAACTTTCTCCCCCAACCTCCGCCTTCCGCCACAACCAACTTCTCGCCTCTGATTCCTCTCGCCTCTAGAATTTACTGCAATTCCAGATCAGAGGTTTTTGGCGCGTTCAGTATCGTTCGCCGATCTCTCAGACCGCCGTCATACAGTTCTTAGTATCTCGCTTTGCTTCCTGGCTTCCGCTTATTTTAGGACTTATTGATGCCGACGTCCTTTTTGCATCTCGCTTACTGGAGCTAACCTGGCGATCTGACAGCGTTCTAACATTCAGATGCGACGCAAGCACGGGGTTGCAATGAAGAGCCGAGGAAGAAGTAAGGACTATTTTCCCTGATTGCCGTTGACGTGGATCTGCGCGCGGCTCACGCCTCGCGCACCTGTGCGTGTGGTTGAGCAGATGAAAAGGAAGGTGCGATGCCCGCCGGAACCATCGCTCGGACCGAGTGCAATGGGCGACGGTGGTCCCATCAACGGCCGCAAGAAGGCCAAGGCGAGATCGGACGGTACAGAAGACGGTACCTTGCTTTTGGGAGACGGCGTGTCAGCTGTGAAGCGATCAGCTTGCAGCAACTGTTCTGTGGTAAACGCGGAAACCCTTATGCTTTAATTCCTTGTCATCTTCCTCCAGTTTTTTCGATGTAAGTCGCCCCCCCTTTTCTTCTGTACTCCGCACCCCGTGTCCTCCCTCTCCTCGTTCTCGTTCCTAATTTCTCGATGTGCTCCTTGCAGCTCCAGCAGAGGCTCGACAAGGCGGAAGAAGGTAGGAGGAAGCTTCGCGAGGCGATTGGGCTATTGAGGGATCGGATCGAGGAGCTAACGCAGACCGTCTCCACTCTCCAGCAGGGTGAGTTTTCGCCTTGTCGTGCTCTCCTTTCGTTCCCCTGTCGCTACGGTTAACTCCACTTTATTTCGCATCCACGAAAAAAATGCTTGTTCCTTGCGTCCGTGCGCTCCTTCGTTTTGACGAGTTAAGATTTTGAGCATGCCGCTGATTTCCGCCGAAAATCTGTCGCCTTGGTTCACATTCCATGCTTCGTTTTGCGTCGCTGGCTATTCTGCGTGCACAGACATACGACAGCAGCGCGAGGAGAATGACGAGTTCCGGCAACGGGTGGAGCAGGCAGAAGGACGGGCAGACGAGGAGTGTCTACGGGCAGTCAAAGAAGCTCGCCGGGCGGCTGACGCGTCGGACGAAGCAACGCGGGAGCGAGGGAGGGCAGAGGAATACTGCGCACGGGTGAAGCGCTTAGAGCGAGAATTAGCGGTGCTGCGAACGCGGGTAGGACGAGACGAGAATGATAGGAGTGTTGACGTAGAGGGAAGAGGAGATTCGGGGAGGTTGAAACCGGTCTCGACCGGGCGAGAGCCGTGTTTAGCTGGTGATGTGGTGGGGAAGGAGCGGGGCGACGTGCGAGACGGAGAACGCAGCGGTTGTAGCGGCGGAACAAGTGGAAGTGGATGCAGAAGCAGCGGCGGCGGGGCGACGAGTGGAAGCAGTCGCGGCGGCGACTCGGATAGCGAAGCCGCCTCGCAGCGGAAAGGCGGGGCGGAAAGAGCGGGCGACGGCGAGGAGAGTAGCAGTGAGGAGAGCGATAGTGATGATGGGGGGAGTGACAGCGACGGGAGCGAGAGCGACGAAGAGGCGAGGGGCGAGGAGGGAAAGATGGATGGGGAGGAGGAGGAGAAGGAGGAGGAGGAAGAGATCGATGTGGAGGGGTGTGATGGGGACGCACGACTCGTGCGAGAGGAGGTCGAGACGCCGCCAGGGGAAGCCATGCGAGTAGACGTTATTCGAGCGGAACTGATTAGATCGGTGCCCACGGGCGCAGATAGAATAGAGTTAGAACCCGTTGTGGAGGGTGCGGGTAATAGAAAAGGGTCGCCATCGCCGCCGACGTTCGAGAGTTTAAGGGGTCGGCCGGAGTTGCTCGGGCGTTCGTGTGGGGAGAAGAGGGAGGAGGAGGAGCGGGATGATTTGGGCAAGTTGGAAGTGATAGAACTGGGAGGGTGGAGTGATGGGGAGGGAGAGGAGGAGGAGGCGGCGGAAGGAGGAGATGTCAGGGGGGAAGCTGCCGGTGCAGGTGCGGGGGGGGGAAGGGCAACGGGAGGAGAGCTCAGGACGGGTGGCGATGGCGTGGAGGGGATGGGGGTGGCTGATGAAGCGGAAGACGGAAGAATGGCGACGCACGCAAGAAAGGACGAGTTACGTGCGGGTGGGAAATTGAAAGCAGCCGATGCAAGGGATGCGACTCAAGCAGATGTGACTGAAGCGGATGTGACTGAATCAGATGTGCCTGAAGCAGATGTGACTAAAGCAGGTGCAAGGGATGTGAGGGAGATTGACAAGTTGCGAGCGGGTGGTGAAGGGAGGGACGCAAATGTAGCGGAGGAGACTATAACGCGTGCTGCTGCAGCTCCAGCAAGCACCGGCAGGCTGTTGCGCGGTGACGCAATGGGGCATGGTGAGGGAGAAGCGGGGGAGCAGTTGTTGCAGCAAGTGGACACAAGCGCGGATAGCGCCACAGAGCAGATGCGCGATTGTGCTGCTGCTGTTGATGCTGCTGCTGCTATGGCTGATACCCTAGAACCTGATGCTAATTCAGCTGCCGCTATCGCAATCCCTACGTCTCCTGCTGTGTATCCCGCGACTGCTGATGCGGCTAGTGCTAATGCCACTGCTGCCGCTGCCGCTGCCACTACTGCCACTGCTGCTGCTGCTGCTGCTGCTACAGTCCGGGATGCTGCCGTTGCTGCTGCCACCGCTGCAGCTGACGTTGAACCTAGCTGTGCTGCTGTAACTGCCACGTCCCCTCGTCCTGCCGCCACCGCTGATACCGCCGCCACTCTTGCTGTGTCCCTTTCTCATGGCGGCGGCTGGGGTACTGAGAGCGCTCAGAAGACGGGGCGAGCAGGCAGCGCGTGTAGCCTGCGAGCAGTGAAACGCCTCGCCAGGAAGCGAGGGCCACACGCCCTCTCCGTGAAGCCGCCGTTGGTCCCCCTCATGCCTGCGCCCTCTACACCTGCGCCCTCTACACCTGCGCCCTCTACACCTGCGCCCACTACGCCTGCGCCCTCTACACCTGCGCCCTCTACGTCTGCGCCCTCTACACCTGCGCTTCTTGCACCTGCGCCGTTACCACGTGTGGGGGGAACCGCTGCCACCCCCACTGAGACAATAGAGGCCTGCATGGGCGAGCACATGGGTACTGCAGAGCGTGTGGGTGCCGGGGTGGCTGAAGCAGCTATGCTGGGGAGCTGCGAGGGAGGACGTGGGGCGGCAGGGGCAGATGAGGGACGGAAAGAGGAGGGGAGCGTAAGGGGCAGAAAGCGAAAGGAGGTGGGGGCTTCTGACGGGTCTCCGCTGGCGCATGTGCTGGCAGCAGCTCAAGCGCCAATGGAAGCGCATGCGGTTGCACAGGCGCCGGGAGCAAAGGGATCGGTGGCAGTAGAGAGAGCGGTAATGGAGGAACCGCCGCTGGACGATGTGCGCTCGTTCTTTGCGTCGCTCTGCTTCCCCCTGCCGTGCTCCCCGCGTGCCGCCACCCCGCCGCTGCCACTCTCTGCATGCCAGGAGCTCATTCGGCCTTGCAGAGAACGCAAGGACCAGCAGCCGCAGCAACAGCAGCCGCAGGAGCAGGAGTCGCAGCAGCAGCAGCCGGCAGCGCAGCAAGAGAAGAAGGGGTATAGCATGCCCACCGTGTCCATGCCAGCTCCGCTTCCCCTGGGCCCTCTCCCCCCTCTACTCCACCTGCCGTCCGTGCACCACCTGCACGCTCCGCGGTTGCCCGCGCTCGTTGCCCCTGGCCACACCGCCCCCCGCATGGACCATCGCAATGCCCCACATGGGGGCCACACCCCGTCCAGCACGCATGGCAGCTGCACTGCCACAGTCACTGCCATTGCCACTACCACTACCACTGCTGCTGTTGCTGCTGGGGGCAATGCTGGTGCTGGTGTTAGTGGTAAAGCAGGTGTTAGTGCCAGTGCTGCAGCCAGTGGTGCCAGTGGCGGCAGTGGCGGCAGCAGCACTGCAGGCAGCATGGCCACTGCCGTCCCCGCGCATGCTATACTTTCTGCCGTATGCCCCATGGCAGCCCCCCCCTCAGGCTCGTCGCACTCCCTCTCAGCCACCCACCCCCCTCCTCTCGCTGTTCCCGCGTCCCCTCCCTCTGTTGCTGGCGCAAGCGCATCCCTCCGCGATGCCTCTGCGAGCCATGGTTGCTGTGGCGAGCACATGCACGCACACGGGCGCATGCAGACGAGAGCGCAGACGGAGGAGGATATGGCAGCGGCGGCGGAGGAGAAGGAAGCGCGGGGCAGCTCGTGCGGCGAGGGTGTGGCGGCGCTGCTTGGCCATCTGGCTGCTCTGGGGGACCTGGGGGATGGTGGCGCGGGGAGGGGTAGGGGCTTCAGTGAACGGGACGGAGGCAGGGGGAAGGCGGGAGAGAGGGGGCAGGGTGGAGGAAGAGGGAGACGAGGAGGCGAAGTGGGGCGCGGCAGTGCGTTGGAGAGACGAGCATCGGGGAAGAAGGGGCAGTGGTGGGTGGACGTTGGAGGGGCAACGGATGGGCGCGAGGACAGTGCAACGAGGGCTGCTGCTGCTGCTAGTCTCACGCACGGGCTCGCCCCTGCCTCTGCATCCCTCCCTGCTGCTCTCTCCCTCATTTCACGCTCCTCCGTGTCCGCACCTGCCATCCAGATCGCCCACCCCAATACGCCCCTGCTTCCCAATACTGCTGCTCTATCCCCTGCGGCTCCCCCTTCCCTTGCGCTTCCCCCTGCGCCGGGCTCAGGCGCGGATACGGGATCAGCGCGCGTGGCAGGGGGGGTGGGTGGTGGCGCTGGTAGCGGCATTGCAAGGGCGCGGTCAATGGGGGGCGGGCAGATGGTGGTGGCGGCAGGGGTGGCAGCAGCGGTGGCGGTGAGGGAGGTGGAGAGGCGAGTGCAGGAGCGACGCCAGCGCGTGCTGAGGCGATTGCGGAGGGGGTTGAAGCGAGGAGGGGAGGGCGTGGGAAGGGGAGGTGGGGGGTTTAGAGGAGCACTAGGCACCGCAGCCAGGAGAGGAGGGGCAGGGGGAGGGGTAGGAGGAGAAGCATGGGGAGGTAGAACTGGCAGAGGCGATGGTGGTGGGGGTGCTTTCTGTCAGGCGCTTCTTGCCTGTTCCATGTCGGCCGGTGCCCTGCCTGCTGACGCCACCACAGCAGCACCTGCACAACCATCACCAACCGCCGCTGCTGCTGCTGCTGCTGCCGCTGCTGTCGCACCTGTCTTGCCGTCTGCTGGGTCCTGTCCTGAAAGCTCAACTGCTGCTCTCCCACCGTCTGCAGCTGCCAGTCTTGCTCCGATGTCCGCCCCTCCCCACACGTCTGCGCCTGCACCTATATCTGTGGCGGACGCATTGGCAGCAGCCAAGGCAGTGCAGAGGGAGCGGCAGGCGCGAGGGCAGGGGTGGGTGGGTGCAGGCGACAGGGCATCAGAGGGCAGGGGGGGGGGGTGCAGCAACAGGGTGCGACTGGGCACTGGCCAGGTGGGAGAGCAGTGCAGTGAGCACGTGAGAGGGGCACCTTGGAGTGGTCTGGACGTGCTTGAATGCGCTACCATGGCCTCTACTGCGCCCCACACCAGCACTCCCACCATGCGCGGGTGCTCTGCTAGGAGAGGGCTTGCATGGGCGCAGGCAGCAATTGGGCCTGGAAGGGGGGTGGTCAGTGGCAAGGGGAGCAGCAGCGGCGGCAGCAGTGGCGTGTGGAGTGAAGCGGGGTGCTGGGAGGGCCGGGATGGGTACTGTAGTGATGGCGGCATGATGAGGGGGGGGAGGATGGGGGTGGGGAGGGCAGGGTTGATGCCTGGGGATGGGCGAGGGAGAGATGAGGGCTCTTGGTTGGGGAGCGACGGTGGGGGGTGGGAGAGTGACGTGGACAGTGGATGGGAGAGTGAGGGGGGAGGGGTGGAGGTGCGAGGAGGGTATGGGCAGTGGAAGGGGCGAGATGAGAATACTTGGTGGACATCCAGTCTCCCTCCTTCCCCCACGCCCCCGTCACCCACCCCGCGTTACCCCAATCCTCCATCCCCCACTCCCCCATCCCCCTCACGGCATGTGTTCCCCACACCGCAAGTATGACACTCGCCTGCTGTAGTCTCAGCGCCCTGCGCCCTCTCGGCGTGCCGTGCCGCCAGTGTGGCCATCTGCATGCAGCCCTGCTCCGCTACTGCACTCGGTTGCTGGCCTCCACCCTGCTGCTGCACTTGCCGCCCCAAGTCCCTGCCTTGTGTCATCCCCCTGCCTCGTCTGCTCGCTGCTGCCTGTGTGTCTCTGGAGGAGGGGCGCCATCACCAGCACCAGCACCGAGAGCTAGATTGGGGCGCGGACGAGGGAGAGAGTGCCCTGGCGCCTGTTCTGCTGCCTGCGGGATGGTTGGTTGGATGGGCGTGTTGGTTGGATCGCTGGGCGAATGGCCCAGCCAGTGGGTTGCCGGGCCAAGGTCTTGACACGCCTCAGACCAGGTGTGTGGTTTGGTTGCCCCACCAGGGCAGTGTTGCGCGAGGGCAGTTTTGTGGGGAGCATACTCCCCTGAGTGTGAGGCAGGTAGGTTTTGCTATTTGGAACAGTGGTGTACCGTGTACGGGAGGCAGAACTAGTGCTTTGGCCCAGAGCTGTGCGTTGGTTGGTGTACTAGGTTAATGAAGCGGGTGCTTTGATGAGTGATCAAGAAGAAAGAATGCTTTATAAATGGAACAAGTACAGTGGCAGCAAAAATGAGGCTCTAATGAATAGAAACTGTACAAAGGTACACAAAGAAGTGGTGAAGAGACAAATTGAACAAAGGAGTGTGCAAGTGAAACCCTGTGCCTACACAATTGGGGAGGGTGGGACTTGAGAGTGGTTCTGCCCTACAAGGAGCTTCCAAGGGAGTGAGGAGGAAGCATGAGGGGGGTCAGCAGAAGTAGGATCTACAAAACTGGGTGGAGACGTGGGCGACTAGGAGAAGGGTAGGGAGGTGGATGGGGGGATTCCAAAGCTACAAAACTGGGGAAGGGCGGATGCTAGGCAGGGCCAAGTTGACATGTGTGTATGTACACAGGGTTGACAGGGTTGAGTTGAGCGGGCGGTGACATGGAGAGGGTGGAGAGGGGGCAGGTGAAGGTCAGGTGCCTGCCAGCTGAGGTGAACGCGGACAGTTGAGGAGGGTGCAGCATTGAGGGCAGATTGTCCGGTGCTTCAATTTGAGCAGCCCTTTACGGGAAGATGCCGCTGACGTTGTAGGAGCGCGCAATGCGCTCGATGGAGATGAGATAGGCTGCCGTGCGGAAGGAGCAGTTCTGGGGAGTGAGGCGGGAGGGGGGAAGTGTGGGGAGAGAAGAAACTCTGAGAGGAATCCTGGTGCAGGAAAAGGACAAAGCATAGGTGTGGGTGGACTGTGGGTTTTGGACAGAGCAAGAGTAAGAAGGATACAATGTGGTGGGTGAGAGGGTGACTGAGTGAGCAGGCTTTGGTTGGGAGAGGAGTGGCAAGCAAGCAAGCATGAGAGTGAGTGTGTGCATTGTGCAACAGGCGGGCTTAGCGCACGTACCCTCTCCTCGGCCACGCGGTCCACGTTCTCCCACCCCTCGATCATGTGCTCCTCCAGCCCCGACCACACAAAGTCCTCCTCCGTGTTGCTGCCAGGGGGAGGGGGAGGGGCAATGGTTACAGATGAGACAGGTGCCGGCAACGAGAATGTGAGGACGCTGTTTTAGAGGGGGGAAAGCAAGCGCAGCAGCAGGGAGGATTAGGAGCAAGAGAAGCGCGCCAGGGCTGGGAGAGTAGCGCAGCTTACCCGCGCACGATGGACTGGCGCGTGGTGTGGCTGAAGCGCATGCCGCCGGCCATCTCCTGCTCGAGGGCGTCGACGAGCTGCTGCTTGCCGCGCTCCTCCATGCGGCGGCTCATGCGGCCGAAGTGGATGTGGTTCAGGTTCTTGAGCCACTCGAAGTACGACACCGTCACGCCGCCCGCGTTCACCAGCAGGTCCGGCAGCACCACCACGCCGCGCGCCGCCAGGCGCTTCTCTGCTGCGGCGGTGACGGGCCCGTTGGCGGCCTCCGCCACCACCTTGGCGCGGATGCGCCCCGCGTTGCTTGCCGTGATCTGCCCCTCCAGCGCCGCCGGGATGAGCACGTCGCACTCCCGCTCCAGAATGGCGGCGCTGTCCAGCAGCGTGGTGGCGCCCACACAGTGCAGAATGGAGCCCGTGCGCGCGTGGTGCGCCGCCACCGCCGCCATGTCCAGCCCCGCGCCCGTGTCGTCCACCAGCCCCCCGTTCCACTCCGCCAGCGCCACTATGCGCCCGCCCGCCCCCACTATCGCCTCGATCGTGTGCCGCCCCACGTTGCCGTACCCCTGCACTATGAACGCCTTGCTCTTGATCCCCACACTCATGCCCAGCCGCTCCATCCACTTCTGTAACACCCACAAACACGCTCATGCAGGAGAGGGGGGAAAGAGGGGGAGGGAGTGGAAAGTGAGGGGGTAGGCACAGGAAGGGGGTGGGAGTGTTGGAATGGGTGTGGCGAGGGGGCGGCGGAACAGGGACGAGACAGGAAGAGCAAAAATGGAGACGAGGGAAGACGAAAGGAGAGAGTCCGGTGGGCATGGGTGGTTGCGCTGACCTCGCTCTTGAAGAACTCCCTCAACACAACGAACACGCCCTGCCCTGTGGCCTGCGTGCGCCCCCTGATGCCGCCCTGCAATGAGAGAGAGAGAGAGAGATAGAGAGATAGATAGAGAGAGAGATAGAGAGAGAGAGAGAGAGAGAGAGAGAGAGAGAGAGAGAGAGAGAGAGAGAGAGAGAGAGAGAGAGAGAGAGAGAGAGAGAGATGAGCATGCAGGGAGTAGCCCGCACACTGTTAGCTCCTGATCTGAAGCGACTAAGTCATGGAATGGCCCACTTGCAAGCATATGGAGGAGCAGAGGATGCGAAGAGCAGGAGAGAATGAAGAGGGGAATGCGGGAGAGAGTGGGAGACTGTTGCGGGGACGCTGGAATGACCAGCGGCATGGGAAAACGGTGTGCATGGCGCCTCACCTCCTCCAGCGGCTTGCCAGTGACGCACGCGAAGGAGTTGAGGTCGTTGGGGCGAAGCATCTGGTATGTGTCCTGAGGGGGTGGAAGGGGAGGGGAGACGAAAGGGGGGGGAAGGGCTCGCGTTATCACCACTTCGTCATGTGCATGTACTGTGACTTTCGTTGTAATGATTTTTCTGTTTCTTTCGGTTGGGTTTTCTACAGAAGACTTTTCGTAGTGTGTGATGGGCATGGTGAACAGCCCATACACATGATTGGGTTAGGTTCTGCTCACTTATGCGCTCACATAAACGTACGAGGAAAGCCCCACTTCAGCATGCCATAACCCCACAGCCATTTCACCTGCCTCCCATTGCGCGCCTCACCTTGATCCACGCCATCTCCTGCGGGCCGGTGCCGTAGTCGGGCGCGGGGACGTCCTGGCAGCGAGACACAGGGGGCAGAAGACAGAGGTGGCGTCAGCGGAGCGCGTCGCTGGATAAAGCGGGATTTGCGGCCGTAAGGAATGTTTGCAGTGGTGTGTTTAAGGCACGAGGCAGCAACGCTGGGAACCGAGTGTGTGCGACGGATGTAGCGACTCACGATGGACGGTCCGATGAAGTTCTTCTTCACCAGCTCCGATGTGTACCGTCGGATCACCGCCTCCTTCGCTTCCGGCGAGATCTTGCGCGGATCTGACGGCAAGGAGGGAGCCGAGCAAGAATAATGAGACGCATGTCAGGCGCGAACGAGAGACGCGGAAAGGATGTGGCAGACTCGAGCGGGCCATGGCGTGGCCCATCATGGCGTGGCCCATCATGGTGTGGCCCATCATGGCGTGGCCCATCATGGCGTGGCCCATCATGGCGTGGCCCATCATGTCATCACAAAAATGTGGACCTCTCCTATATTGTAGGTATAGTTGTTCGTATAGCAAGGCTACTCCGTAGCAGACGTACCTATGCCATACCTACTGTATACCTACTCCGTATTTCTGATCCTGGAATTTTGGGATGTGGCGTGGCCCATCATGGCGTGGCCCATCATGGCGTGGCCCATCATGGCGTGGCCCATCATGGCGTGGCCCATCATGGCCTGGCCCATCATGGCGTGGCCCATCATGGCGGGCACTGACCGATTTTGATGCCGCCCTTGGCGCCTCCGAAGGGGACGTCGAGCAGCGCGCACTTGAAGGTCATGAGCGCGGCGAGCGCCATGGTCTCCTCCGCGTCCACCGTCAGCGACATGCGGATGCCGCCCTTCACGGGCAGGCGGTGGTGCGAGTGCTGCGCGCGGTACCCCTCTACCAGCTCCACGCGGCCGTCCGGCAGCTTGAGCGGAAACTGCACGCGGATGATGCTGTTGCACGCCTTGATCTGCGCCAGAATGTCCGGCGACACGTGCGATATCGCCGCCGCCGCGTCGAAGTACAGATCCACCGACTCCAGGAAATTCGGCTCCGGCTCCGGGGGAACCTCGATCTCTGCGGGGCGGGGGGAAGTCAGCGCAGCAAGTCGCAGGGCGGAGCGTCGAGGAAAGCAGGTTGATTACGTGATCGCGACGCAGCGAACGCGAGCAAGCAAGGCGCGTCGTCACTGTGACGGGTGCGGTGAGGGTGACTGACACTTACTGGCGGGAGGGTCAGCGGGAGACGGCAGGGAAGCCATGGGGCTCTGGCATTGGAAGCTCGGCATGACGGCCTGCGGCGTGAGGCATTGGATGACGGGAGCCATTGCTACGAGCGATGATGCTTCCGGACGCCTGATGGTCAGAGTTGATGGGAGATGATGCAGCGGCGATGGTGTAACACGACGCGAATACGAAGTTATGATCTGCTCTGTTTTTCCCAGCTCGGTAGTAACAGGTGGTATCTCGTGTGGTCAGGCCTCGTGGGTTGCTCTTCAGGTGAACTACGAGCTCGGATTAGACGACTAATTGTTGCTCAGAAACGAACGCAAGTGACAATGTCAGGTGAAACGAGCGGGCGAGAGGAATGAATAATGGGAGTGCAGCTGAAGGGACTTTTTGAAGCCAACGAAACGAGCGAATTTCCTTCGGGCATTTCCTCGCGAGCCGCGTTTTGGCCAATGTGGCATGTGGACGAATTCGCGTCGCGATCTCGATGGTGCGCTTCGCTTATGATGCCAGTGTGACGAAATTGGTGGGGTGGGAGGTGGGGGATTCTGCTGCCAAAGAAAGCTGAGGTGTGAAACGGTTGGGATGACTCGGATGTTGTGGTCGATTGGAGAATTTGTGCGGTACAGATTTTGCGTGGCTTGGCACCACATCCCCACGATATCTGGAAAGGCCAGGTCGACGTGCCAGCGGAAAGAGGGGAAAAACCAGCGATTTCTACGGCATATGACGGGTAGATATGCGTGGATTCCGGAACCATGTCGGGGCTTGCTTGGCATCACTTTGTTGCTTATGCGGAAATGACATGGCACAGCGTTGGATGAAATAGCGGGGATGTGTTTGGCTTTGGAGCCACAAAAGGGAATTCTCTCTATCAATCCCGAGTGTAATGGATAGTAACGTTTCGCGATAGGTGAGTGGATTCGTTTGATGCGCTTAAGAGCTGATTCATTTGTGAGTTTACTTTCACCTTTGAAAGTATCCACGCTGTATTCCGAGACTTAGTTTTTCCTAATGCTCGAACAAATATAAATATGTGCTGGCCCACCTAAATTTATTACAGCTCAGCCCCCACCGTACATTGCGCTGTGCCATATCATCCAAGCGTGTGCGCAATCCCCCATTGACACGCACAGAGAGCTTTCCACGACTCGTCCACGTTCTTGAGTACCCAGCATCACAGACTGGGTCCAGCGGGCCATGGCGGCTCGTGCCTGCCCTCGCAACGCTTACGTGGCCGTTCCACACATCCCACCAAATGTTTTCCAACAAGTCGCTTCAAGAGCTCTCTCTATCTGAAAAATTACCCTACAAATATTGCTGTTTCCAGAGTCCTATTGCTACCATGCTTGATATTACGGGGTACTTCGCTTTGATTTCGTACGAACTGCACTTGTAGAGCAAAGCTGTCAATTGTGGTTTATGTTACAACCCTCCACTAACGAGCTGAGAGAGAGAGAGCAGTTTCTTTCCCTGCCTGCAGTTTTATATGCAGGTTTCGGGAGGGTTTTCTACTCTCGCGACCGCCTGAGGCATAGTAGGATGGAGAACGCCTCTCCAGCCGTTTATTACGGGTAGTTGGTTGTCTATTCGTTCCGCTATGGGTAATTCTGAGGCCGATCTCGTCCCGTAACGGAATTCCCGAGGCCTTAGCGAGAGCCTGAGCGCTGCCAGGGCTCACACGAATGTCCAGAACTCGCGGCGCGGCGACGGGTTGCCCCTCCCGTGCATATGGGGCCAGCATCCACATTCTCCTCTCACGCATTCCACTCGCCTCGCATCGTTTCGCATCTCGTTCGCTGGCCTCCATTGACTTCGATTCGAGCCCCGCCTTCGCTTCTTGAGAAACTCGCCTCCGTGTCACTCATCCCTGCTTCAACCAACCAATTCTGAATTTGTCGGTCCACTGGAATTCGCGTTTCCGAGGATTCATCTCGACGATCGCCATCACGGATCAACCGCCATCCAGTGCAGCCAGCGGACTCAGCCATCGCCGCGAGTGGAACCCACAGCAATTGATCATCGCGCAACAGCGGGCAATCACCAAGTTCTAGTGGCAGTCTCACCGCGACTCATCCCCAACGTTTGACTGGAAGCGCGCGTCGGCATCGCCATCATGGCGCCCGTGGTTCCGTGCCAGTCCCAGCCTCCCACCATGGCCTACTCGTGTCCCGTCATCTCCGCCACTAAAGCGGTGCCCGTCACCGTAGCGCCGCCGAGTGAGTATCGCATTGCGGAGTGCAATGCGTAATCATGTTCCTCGCGCAGCGACCACAGTGTAGCATGTCATGGTGTGCTGTACAATCAACAGGCGTACTTGCCCTTTGTGCTCGTGAAGTTTACGCGAGATCTGTGCGCTTTGGGTTGACTCACGAAACGCCGTAACCACGTTGATTGACCCTTCCCCTGCAGAGGAGGAGGCGAAGCCGTCGGAGCCGGAGCCGAATTTCCTGGAGTCGGTGGATCTGTACTTCGACGCGGCGGCGGCGATATCGCACGTGTCGCCGGACATTCTGGCGCAGATCAAGGCGTGCAACAGCATCATCCGCGTGCAGTTTCCGCTCAAGCTGCCGGACGGCCGCGTGGAGCTGGTGGAGGGGTACCGCGCGCAGCACTCGCACCACCGCCTGCCCGTGAAGGGCGGCATCCGCATGTCGCTGACGGTGGACGCGGAGGAGACCATGGCGCTCGCCGCGCTCATGACCTTCAAGTGCGCGCTGCTCGACGTCCCCTTCGGCGGCGCCAAGGGCGGCATCAAAATCGGTCAGTGCCCGCCATGGCAGACGCCGTCGCCCGCTCGGGTCTGTCACGTCTTTTGTTCCGCCTCTCTCGTTCGCGCCTGACATGTTTCTGATCATTCTTTGCTCGGCTCCCTTCTTGCCCATCAGATCCGCGCAAGATCTCGCCTGAAGCGAAGGAGGCGGTCATCCGACGGTACACGTCGGAGCTGGTGAAGAAGAACTTCATCGGACCGTCCATCGTGAGTCGCCGCATCCATCGCACACCACACTCGCCTTCCCTCCATTACTACCTCGTGCCTCGAACGCACCACTGCAAGCATCCGTCCGATCACAATCTCGCTTTATCCAGCCAAGCACTTCGCCGACGCCACGTCTCTCCTCTTCTGCCCCCTGTGTCTCGCCGCCAGGACGTGCCCGCGCCTGACTACGGCACTGGCCCGCAGGAGATGGCGTGGATCAAGGTGAGGCGCGCTGCTCGCTGCAATGTTCCGCTCAATGCTACGCTGGTGACCTCTGTGCTAGCACGACTCGTGCTGCCATCCTGGTCCACGTCACGCGTTGCACGCCCGCCCGCCACCCCACACATATTCGCGCATGCCTCTCGTCGCACCCGTGCCTTCCCCTGACGCCCCCCAGGACACATACCAGATGCTGAAGCCGGGCGACCTCAACACCTTCGCCTGCGTCACCGGCAAGCCGCTGCATGAGGTGAGGCCCCATGCGCTCGTGCTGCTTTTGGAAAGGAAGGGAGGGGAGGGTTGCATGTTTCGCATTAGTCTCTTTCATTCCGTAACTAACAGTCTGCCTACTGCTCCTTCCCAATTGGCTCTGTCTGTGCGCTGTGCGGTGCAGGGCGGCATCAGGGGGCGCACCCAGGCCACAGGGCAGGGCGTGTTTGTGTGCCTGAGGGAATTCTTCAAGAGCGAGGTCAGCCCAGCCACCCGTGCCGTTAATCCTCTCTTCTTGATTAGACTTTCACGTGCCTCCTCTCCTGCTGTTCCTGCTGTTCCCTGCTTCTTTCTTTCCCACCACACCCAAACCAACACTCACACCCCTTCCCTTCCCTCATCCCTGCTCTCTTCCCTCCTCCCCCACCCCTTTTGGGTGTTACAGAAGTGGATGGAGCGGCTGGGCATGAGTGTGGGGATCAAGAGCAAGACGTTCATAGTGCAGGGGTACGGCAACGTGGGGCGGCACACGATCGAGGCGATAGTGGGGGCGGGCGGGCGCATAGTGGCGCTGGCGGAGTGGAACGGGGGGCTGGTGGACGACACGGGCGCGGGGCTGGACATGGCGGCGGTGGCGGCGCACCACGCGCGCACGGGCTCCATTCTGCACTGTGTGGGCGCCACCACGCTGCTGGACAGCGCCGCCATTCTGGAGCGGGAGTGCGACGTGCTCATCCCGGCGGCGCTGGAGGGGCAGATCACGGCAAGCAACGCGGGGCGCATCCGCGCCAAGGTGGTGGCGGAGGCCGCCAACGGGCCCGTCACCGCCGCAGCAGAGAAGCGCCTGGCGGCGTGCGGCGTGGTGGTGCTGCCGGACCTGCTGGTGAACGCGGGCGGCGTGACGGTGTCGTACTTCGAGTGGCTCAAGAACCTGAACCACATCCACTTCGGCCGCATGAGCCGCCGCATGGAGGAGCGCGGCAAGCAGCAGCTCGTCGACGCCCTCGAGCAGGAGATGGCCGGCGGCATGCGCTTCAGCCACACCACGCGCCAGTCCATCGTGCGCGGGTAAGCTGCGCTACTCTCCCAGCCCTGGCGCGCTTCTCTTGCTCCTCCTCCTCCCTGCTGCTGCGCTTGCTTTCCCCCCTCTCAAGCAGCGTCCTCACATTCTCTTTGCTGGCACCGCCTGTCTCATCTGTAACCATTGCCCCTCCCCTCCCCCCTGGCAGCAACACGGAGGAGGACTTTGTGTGGTCGGGGCTGGAGGAGCACATGATCGAGGGGTGGGAGAACGTGGACCGCGTGGCCGAGGAGAGGGTATGTGTCCCTCATGCGCGCACACTCACTCCCCTGCTGAATCCCACGCTCTCACCTGGTACCTGTTCTTCTTATCCTTGCTCTCTCCACGACTTACTCACAGTCTGCCATCCCACCTCCCCCCACCGCTCTCCCCCACCAGGGCTGTTCCTTCCGGACGGCTGCATACCTCATTGCCATCGAGCGCATCGCACGCTCCTACAACGTCAGCGGCATCTTTCCCTAAGGGGCGGTGCGCTCTGGCTTCTGCAGGGATCTCTCCCCTGCCGAGTCCTTTCAGTTCTCTCTCTCCTGTGCTGCTCATTACCACTCCTCTTCCCACCTGCACCTGCTGCGGCCTACTCTCTGCAAGTTTTGTCAAGACGCTTGCATCTTCGCTCTGCTTCGCAAGGATCATGCACGCTCCTGTGTCTGCAGCAGACAGCATGTCCCTCTGCCATCAGCTGCCATGCTCTCCCGTGCATGTGTTGGAGCATGCATCAGTGGGCATGGCACCCTGCCTGTACAGCATCCAATTTTGTCAGGGGTGGGGGAACTAAGGTTACTGCTCAGCAGTGACAGCTGCATGCCCCCACCACCTCCCCTCAATTTTGAACTGCTTAGTCCATTTGTGCCTGGGATTGGGTTGGTTGTGGCTAGCTGTGTGCTGCTGAAACAGCTGCTGCTTCAACCAGTGCCACTGCACTAAATTCTGTGGATGTGTACAGCTCTTTATTTGTGTTGCTTCCATTGCTTATATAAATCACCCCTCTAAAAAAAGCTTTGCTTGATAAGTCTGATTCTGAAGAAGTTGCAAGGTACGAACGTATGTTGTGACACTGCAGGGAAAGGATGAATCTAGAACAATTACTGTACCAGCACATGACAAGGTTATTGCCCGCCCTTGTACCAAGTACGTATGGCATGCAGGTTGGCAGCCCCAGCACACAAAACGAACTTCACAAATGTGTCTCACTCAGTAATACACCCACTGTGCTAAAAGGGCGGGTCAGCGCGCCCATAGCCCCCCAGGCATAGCAGCCTGTGGCTCTTCCAAGAATCTTCTAGGGCGAACCCAATGGGTCAAGAATTTGTTCCAAGAATGAGCATGACACTTGTACATCAATATGTCGCACTCGAAAGAGTCGCAAACCCTATCCAAACTCCCGTGCCAATGTCACCCCTTCCACTCCTTGCTTCCCCCACCTCTTCAGTCCCAACCCCACCACTGTCAGCGGCGTGTGGGCTTGTCGGCGGAGAGCATGATGTACTGGTTGCGGATGTCGCAGGTGTACTTCTCCAGCCCCGCCAGCTCCATCAGCTCCTCCACCTCCTCCGCCTCCCAGTACCGGAACGGCAGCTGCTGACTCATTGACACTTGCTGGGAAGAGGGGGTGGGGGGAAGGGGGATACAGGGGAGGGAGGGATGGTGGGAAAGGGTTGGAGGAGGATATGGGGAAAGGATTTGAGTGGTGTTAGAGGCAAGTTGACGTACGCAGCCTTCCAGTACCAGAGCAGCAGCAGCTGCTGCTGATTCACAAACGGATGCTGGGGGGAGGGTGCACAGGGTGGAGGGGGGAGATGGGAGTGACTGATGGAATGAAGGTTGGCGTAGTGAATGGAAGGTAGAGATACTTGGGGGCATGTTAAGAGCGGACAATGTGGGCGTGTGATTGCGAGGGCGCAAGCTGTGCAGAGACAAGCACATGCGTGTGCATGCCCCCGCCCCCCACCTTGCGCAGCGGCTTGAAGAGGTCGTCGGCAAAGGGCGCCTTGGGCAGCAGAATCGTGGTGGCCACGAACTTGCCACCTGGGCGCAACACACGGCTTATCTCTGCCATCTGATGGGCGGACGGGGGGGGGGAAGGGAGGAGATGGCGGGAGATGGGAGGATGGGGGAGGAGAGGTTAGGAGAGGGATGGATGGATGCAATGGGGGACAGTGAGGGCGGATGGAGCAAGGGGGGAGTGAGGAGTAGTAGCGCGCATCAGCTCCACCAAAGGGCAAGTAAGGTGGCACCAGGGATTGACTTCCAAAAGGAGGAAAGGAGCTGAAGCAATTGCATCGCAGCGAGGGAGGTCTCACAGCGAGGGAGGGCTCACAGCGAGGGAGGGCTCACAGCGAGGGAGGGCTCACAGCGAGGGAGGGCTCACAGCGAGGGAGAGCTCACAGCGAGGGAGGGCGAGGGCCAGCAGTGCAGCGCAGCGCCGGCATGGATGGCGTCCACCGAGCCCGAGGGGAAGGGCAGGCGCGACACGTCCACCCGCAGCAGCGAGATGCCACTGCGGGCAGCACAAGGAGAGGGTGAGGAGAGGAGGGGGTTTGCAAGGACAGGGGGGAACACGGAGAGGTGAAGGTGAGAGGAGGAGAGAGGGGGAGGTTGTGGCACATGAGATGTATGGTGTGAGTGCGCGAGGCAGGGTCGCTGATGGACCATGAGGCCATTGTGCTGACTGCAGGCATTGCACTGAAGCCCATGCCCCTCGCCCTGCGCGCCCACCTCTGCTGGTCCGTGATCAGCGGGTCGTCCCGGATGTACTGCGCCGTCTGCTCCAGCATGGCGGGCGACAGGTCAGCAGCCACCACGTGGCTCCAGTCCTGGCTGGCGGCAAAGCGGCGAGTGAAGAGACCCGATCCACACGAGAGGTCGACGAGCAGCCCGCCCTTCTGTGCGTTGAAGAGGCGCTGCGCCATCAGGAACTGGTGGTGCCGGGCACAAGCACAGGGGATGGGGGAAGATGGGGTGGGAGGAAGAACAGGAACGGGTAGGGCGAGGATATGAGCAGCGGGGATGGGACGAGGATAAGTACAGGCGAGGTGTTTGAGGGTGCTATCTTACAGAAAGTGTGAAGCGCCAGAAACTCTATGTCTCTGCGATGTTGCTCACTGAAGCACCAACCGCCTCATACCCCCATTCCACACGTCACCCTCTGCATCCCCTTGAACCCTCCCAACAAATTCCCACCCCTCGCGCCCTCCCACCCAACTTACCTCCTCATCGGGCCCCGGGAAGCCAAACCCGGCAAAACTCTGCCTCCAGCCACGCTCGTATGCAAAGGAGACGAGGGGGTTCCTGGTGGCAGCACGAGAGGGATGGGGCCAGCGAGATCCCACCCTCAGCGGGATCAGGGCAAAAGTGAGATGTTGCAGTGAGCGAATTTGCACCCATCCCACCTCACTGCACTGTTGTCCGCCCCCCCCCCCTTCCCCCCCCCCCTTCCTCACTTGAATGTCTCGGATCGCGAGGGCAGGGGCGGCTCGACGTACTGCGTGACACCCGCCGTGAGCACCAGGTCCGCAAAGCCCGTGCGCGCAGAGTATGTGCGGCGGCACGGCTCGCACTGCAGGCGCGCTGACGGCGCTGACTGCCTGGGGGACCGCGAGGGAGGACGGAGATGGAGGATGGGTGGGGAGACGAAGGAAGGGTGGCGGCAATGGGAAGAGAGTGCGGGACCAGCTGCCCCTCTACAACCGCCCCCTGCCGCACTAGGACCGCCCCCTGCCGCACTAGGACCGCCGCCCCCTGCCGCTATAGGACCGCCCCCTGCCGCCCTAGGACCGCCCCTTGCCCCTCTGCGACCGCCCTCTGCCGCTCTAGGATCGCCCCCCTGCCGCTCTAGGACCGCCCCCTGCCGCTCTAGGAGCGCCCCCTGCCGATCTACGACCCCCTCCTGCACCTCTAGAACCAACCCCTGCTATAGCACCGTCTTCTGCCGCTATAGGACCGCCCACTGCCGCTCTACGAGTGCTCGAGACTGAGGGCTCGTGGTGCGAGGGGAGGTGCGTGGAGCAGGACGAGGGCGAAAGTGAGACGAGGACTAGAGGGGATGGAGAGGGAAGCAGGTAGACGATGAGAGGAACGGGAGGTGCGGTGACGGGTGCGCGCATGGATGCAATGCGGTGAGCAGGGACGCAGGGTCGGATGGTGTGCAGCATGGCGTGCACGCACATGGAGAAGGCGCGGTGCTTGCCCGCGAACGACACGTGCAGCGCGCGCAAGCACACAGGGCACGCCAGGCGAGGCCCCTCCACCTGCTCCGCGCCTTGGCCCCCCGCCGCCTCGCTGCTCTCCCACTCGCTGCCCGGCGCTGTCCCGCCACCCACTGCCGTGCCTGCTGCCACAGCTGCTCCCTCCTCCCGCACCCCACCTGCATTTCCCCCCAACGCGTCGCCCTGTAACGAATCCGCGCAACGCACTGTGCGTCTCGGGATGCGGGAAACCGCTGATAGCTCTGCCGAGCGCAGACGACCTCCTAAGCGCGTGTGCTTGCTGTCTGGCGCAGCAGGTGAACTGCTCAGATGAGAGCGCACGGAACGGTACCGGCGAGACACGGCTTGGGCTTCGCAGTGCTGCATAGGCTTAACTGGCGAGGGGCACTCGAAGCTTAGATGCGGCCTCGTAGTGTCGGCATGGGATTGGCATGGCAGGTTGAGAGGCGCGAACACGGATGCCGTGGCTCGAGAATGCAGAGCGACCGACATGGTCGACGACATGCTCATCGTTGTCGGAGAGGCAACCTGACCGTCTAGAGATGCAGGCAGAGGCAACTGGACGACTTCAAGGATCCGCCGTTTAGAAGCAAATGGAGTGATATGTTGCGTACAGGACATGTGTGGAAGAACTTCCTCTCCAAGGCAAGGGAGGAGGAATGTGATGGTGGCGTGGCAGCATGGCGGGGATCCCAAGGTCGCTGGGAGGGCGCGCCACGTTTCCAAAATTTGGAGCAAGAAAATGATGCTCCGATTGCGGAACAAGGCTGATGGTATGCTCGTTACAACTTGTTTACGTTTGAGCCTATCCAGGTTAAATTTGTCAAACCTTCTCATATGCATTTTATCCTACATTTTTTAGGGTATTATATGAATAATTAGCAGTTATTTTGTAATAATATGGTATCATATCCTGTCGAGGCACACACGCACTTTGCCAGACTCAGATTTTAGATGGACATGAATGTTGTGCTAACTGGCTGGAAAAAAGTAACAAATCAGGACACATGGACCACCCAGACCAAGGTATGATATATTTGTTCAGCAACATATTGGCATGAAGTTGTATGATGCTTAGGACATTGTGCAAGTTTTTTAGTACGCTATTTCTGCTTTTCCTGCACTCCACCGCCTGCACCCAAGACGAACTGATCCCAGTGGAGCAATGACGTGTGCTTTGCCACGCACTCGGCAGCTTGCGAAGGCGCGCCAAGCGGGACAGACTTGCATGGCTGCAGAGTGCCTGACACTTCTCATTCGCAGGGGCGCTCTCTCGGATCCGCGTCATTCCAGCGTATTTGCCGCCGTCTCCGTCACAGCATGGGCCTCACTGTCCCCATCCCACGCACGCAAAACACCCTCCATCTGCCACGATATGCAAACGCATCCTCGGACAGGATAACTCGGATGCTTGCGAAAGAAATAGCTACGACACTAGCGAACTACGTGAGCTCACATACATGGTGCGTAATTGCTTGCGAGCTTGCTAAGACGTTACTAGGTAACGATGACCTCCAAAATCAGAGCTGCAAGGGAATGGGATGAGTGGAGGGTTTGTTTGCCCATTGCTGCCAAACAGCAAACCCTTTCTAGTTCTTTCCTCAGGTCTACATTCCTTCCACCAGATCTGTCAGCAGTCTACCGTCCGTCCTCAACTTTGTGTGCATCTCTCCTACAACCATCACTAGCCTCACGGCCCTTTCCCCTCTACTTCGCTCGTAAACATGGCGCTCATAACGCAAGAGCTCGCGGGCTGTAGGCGTTAGGCGAGGGGATGCATTCAGCCGAGGGCCGGAGTCTTACGGCTTGCTGCCGTGGACGGAATGTGCGCGCGGGCCGCGACGATGGCTGGCACGGCTGCGGTCGAGGCAGTCGCCACGCTGTGAGGAAGAATCGCCGAGGCATCCGGTGGCGTGCACGCGACGAATACCGGTACGAGCGCGATTGCTGTGTGCGGGCGTGGGTCATCCGACCGCAGAATGCTGGCCGCTTCCGCACTTCGTATTGGGTTTGCCTTGTCCTTTTCACTATCATGATCCGCGCAAGGTCGTACGTGTGCTTCTGGAAATTCAATCAGCCGTTCTGTGATTCGTTTGCCAGTCCATGGTTGATGGGATCCGGGTTCCTTCCCTGCGTCCTCTCTCCCCGGTGCCCGGTTCCATGGCGTAGGCTATCGGCGTGCGATCGTCGTCGCCGGGTGCTCATTGCAAGATCTGACAGCACGGACGGCCAAAGGCGTCGGGCTTACCGGTGCGGGAGGCCGGAGGCAGACGCTTCTCGAGGCTCGCTGGGAGCTTCGGTCACGGCGGCCGGAGTCAGACGCGTATCTCTAGCATCACGGACATCAGTAGCAGCACGCCCGGAGATAGAACTGTTCTCTCGCTATCTCTCGTGTTCCCAGCAGTCAGATCCTCTGATCGTTCCTAAATCCTCGCGGCTGCCTCATCTAGACCGACGTTCCCAATCTGCTCTCGCTACACGACTTCCCATTCACGCCGCTTGCCCACTGTAGCCGACTGTCCAGCAACCTATCGCGCGCGGCTGAGCGGATCCCCCCGAGTGACCTCCTCCTTGTGCTGTGCTCTCCGCGGAGCATCTTCGAGTTGACATCGTGTTGAGTGCTCGCCGAGTTAAGCAGGCGGCGCTCACACGCGATCGTGAGCGGCACTGCACTGACGGAGGTGACAGTATCGGGAGTAAAGCCGAGGTTTGTGCAGGAGAAGCGGAAAAAACGGCAAGAGCGACGGCAGGTACGGGGGACTCAAGGGAGCGCGGTCGAGGCGGGATGCCGCGGTCAGGTGTCTTCGGGGGTGGCGGCGGGGGAGTGATCGTTCCCACCATGGACGTGCGCCAACGCGCCACGCCCAACCTTCCGCCACTAGCAGCGGAAGAGGAGTTGCAGCCGCCGCCTCCACCGCCTCCACCGCCTCCCACGCCCTCGACTACAGCACCCCCCGCGCCCTCCTTCCCCGCGCTCTCTTTCCCCGCGCCCTCCTTCCCGCCGCTGCCCTCCCGGCGCTCTCTACTGTCGGATGCAATGGGGGAAGCATCAGCGGTAGGGGGGAGTACCAGGATGCAGGGCGCGGCGATGGGGCCGGGGAGGGACGCGACGAGGATCACGGCAACGACCATCAGCGGTTTCGTTGTGCCGGCAGCAACAGCACCAGCAGCAGAGACGGGAGCGGCATCGGATATCTTCCACCCGCCTCCTCCCCCTCCCCCCACGCCAGCGGGGCAGGCCACGCGGTCGTTCACCACCACCCGAGGCTTCGCTGTGCCCGACCCTCGTTCCGTGGGCTCGCCGTTCGAACCCGTGGGCGGTCGTTCGGGTAGCGGCTCTACGGGCGTCGCAGGTCGTGGGTGGCCCTCTGCCGCTGCTGCCGCGGCGTCAAACAGCTCTCGTGCTGTCGCTCCCGCTGCTGTCACCCCCGCTGCAGTCACTGCCGCCGTAGCAGCGTCGGCTCGAGATGCATGGTTCCTCCCGTCTGCTGCTGCCGCGGCTGCCGCCGCCGCCACGGCTGCTGCGGCGGCCGCTGCAGCGTCAGCAGCTGATTCGGCAGGTTTTGCGACGGCGGCGGAGGAGGAGGAGGCGGGGATGGTGAGGGTTGTGGGGTTCTCTGGGAGATCCAGCGGTAGCTTCCGATTGGACCGATCCGCCAGTCGCGAGGGCGGGGCGACTGTCGGCGCCGGTCTGGCGGCACTAGTGTCGGACTCGCCGGGTGGGGGCTTAATATCCGGCTCGCCTGGGCTGGGGTCCCATGTGTTCGCGCATTTGAACGAGGAGGATGAAGGATTGGACAAAGAGGGGGGGGGAGCAGCGGCAGACGCGGAGGGGGAGGTAGTAATGCAGGCGGTGGGGACGGATGATGGCGGGTACGCGGAAGAGGAGGAGGACGAGGTGCGGGGGCGGGAGGTGCGGGCGTGTTTTCCGACGTCGGCGCCCAAGATCTCCTTCGGGCTGGGGTGGAACTTCCGCCGCCTCAACACCCGCGGCACCGTGTCTCGCAGCAGCAAGCCGGACGCGGCAGCTGTGAGCGGCGTGGTGGCGGGCAGCCTGGGCAGCAGCATGGGCAGCTACTTCTCGCGCACGGCCAGCAGCCCCTGCTTCCCCTTCCTGCAGACGTCGTCCCCCACCACCCTCCCGCCGCTGCCGTCCATCTACAGCTCGTCGCACTCGCTCAAGTCGGCGGCAGCTGCCGCCATCGCGGCCGCAAGGGCCGCGTCAGCCCCCTCGCTGGCTTCGGCCGCTGCTGCCGCATCCCCTGCGGCTGCTGCGTCGTCGCTTACCTCCCCCCGGTGTGCGTTGGGTGGCTTCTCTTCCGCGGTGAGCGTGGGCGTTGTAACGTCCAGCCTGCCTTCCAGGTTCAGCTCTGCTTTCCCCAACCCCCCTGCTGCACCCGTGGCGCCCACACGGCATGGCGCATCTCGCTTCGATCCCGTGGCCCTGCAAGAGGCGGTTCCGCCCCACTGTGCAGTGGCGTGCGCGCATCCAGTCCATGTGCGTGCGAGCATTCGGCCCAGCGAGGAGGGGTTTGGTGTGCCGCAGCAGTGGCAGGCCAAGGCGGACGGCCTGCCTGTGGGCCGCAGCAAGCTCAGCAGGGTGGCAGAGGCGGCAGTGAGTGGCGCTACAGACTCGGCTGTAGCGGCAGAGGCAGCGGAGGTGCTGGAGGCGAAGGAAGAAGCGATGACCGTACCAGTGCTGGCAGCAGCAGCAGCCGCAGCACAAGGGATCGTGGCAAATGAGTCGGAGGCAGAAGTGACGCTACCTGCGCAAGCAGCAGTTGAAGCGGACTGTGCGTGTGAAGCAGAAGCGGGGGCCTTGCCTGACGAGCCCCCCGCTGCCTGTCTGCGTGTGGCGCTGGACTCGCCTGCAGAGCAGCAGTTCGTCTCCACTCTCTCCGCGTTAGAAGACGTCTGGCTCGCAGAGAACGTGTCCCTCGGCCTCGCGTGGCCGCGCAGCCTCGTTTCTCCCGCGCCTCTCACCACCGCCCTCTCCTCCCCGGCGCCTGCTGCGTGCATCGCGCCCGCCGCCGCCGTGCCTCCCCCCGTGCTGCACCTGGTGGGCGCGGTGCAGGAGGGGCTGCGGGCGGGCGCGCAGCCGGTGCGGGCGTCGGGGGGTCTGGGCGGGGCGTACATATTCCGGGACGCGGAGCAGCGCAACGTGGCGATCGTGAAGCCGACGGACGAGGAGCCCCTGGCGCCCAACAACCCCAACGGCTACGTGGGGCGCGCGCTGGGGCAGCCGGGGCTGAAGCGCAGCATCCGCGTGGGCGAGGCGGGGCTCCGCGAGGTGGCGGCGTTCCTGCTGGACCACGGGGGATTCGCTGGAGTGCCCGCCACCGCGCTCGTGCTCGCCACGCACCCCGTCTTCCACGTCAACGCCGCCGCAGCCATGGGGCCGCTCACCACGGCGCGCACGTCGGCGACGGCGGGCGGGCTGTCCAGTGCGTTCTCGTTCTCCGTCGGGTCCAGTGCCTCCACGGCCTCAGCTGCTGCTGCCGCTGTCGTGGGTGTCAGGGCCTCGGGCGGTGGCGATGGGAGCTGCAGTGGCGGGCGGCGGCTGTGCTCGCTGCAGCGGTTTGAGCCGCATGACTTTGATGCGAGCGAGCATGGCACGTCGCGGTTCCCCGTGGCTGCTGTTCACCGCATAGGCATCCTCGACATCCGCATGTTCAACACCGACCGGCACTCTGGTGGGTGCTCGCCCCTTGCCCCTCCATCCCTCCATGACAGGATGCGTGCTGTTTTGCTGCACCTGTTGCAACTCCGTCACCCTCGCATCAACCCCTCATCCATTCCCCTTGTTGTGTACGCCTCTTCATCTCTTTTCCCGTGCCGTTTCGCCTTCTGTGTCCCATCCTCCCTCCTCTCCCCCCCCCTTTCCCCCTCCCCTCCCCCTCCCCTCTCCGTTGCAGGCAACATCTTGGTGCGGCAGCTGAGCGGCGAGGAGCGGTCGTGGCGGCGGGTTGACCCGCAGCTGCGCGTGGACGAGGCGGTGCACCTGGTGCCCATTGACCACGGCTTCTGCCTGCCCGACACACTCGAGCCCGCCTACTTCGAGTGGCTGCACTGGCCGCAGGTCCGCACGCACGCGGGGAGTGGGCGGCGGCCACGGGTGGGGCGCGTGGGATGGCTTGGGAAGGGAAGGGGGTGGGGGTTTGTGGTTTGGGAAAGTTGGAGGTGATAAGTTTGGGGATCCGCCCAAGCTCCCCTATTCCTCTGTGCATCCTCCTCCCTTCTCTCACACGCCCCACGTGCTTCCAAAGTAACGCTTTCCTTCCCACCTCAAATTCTCCTCTTCCTCCGCCCACCCTCCCCTTCCCACGACCCCATTTCTTCTCCCCCCCCCCCCAGGCGTCGCTGCCGTTCTCGGCCGAGGAGCTGGAGTACATAGCGGCGCTGGACGCGGAGCGGGACGTGGCGGTGCTGCGGCAGCACCTGCCGCTGCTGCGCGAGGGGTGTCTGCGTGTGCTCGTCATCGCCACCACGCTTCTGCAGCGCGCCGCTGCCGCCGGCATGACGTTGGCGGGGATCGGCGCGATGATGAGCCGCGAGGTGCGCGGGCTGGACGAGCACCCCAGCGACCTCGAGCTCGTCTGCGCTGACGCGCTCAGGGAGATGAAACGCGTGCGCGCCGCGCTGGGGGAGGGGGACGGGGAGGAGGAGGGGGAGGGGGGATGGCGAAGGGAGAGTGGGGAGGGGAGTACGAGGGAGGGGGGTATTCAGGAAGAGGAGGGGGAGGGGGAGGGGGAGGACGAGGAGGAGGAGGATTTGTCAGGGAGTGAGGAGGAGGAGGGTATATTTGGCGTTGATGGGTTTGGGGATGAGGGAGGAGAGATAGATGCCGTGCTGGAAGGGGAGGAAGGGGAGGAAGGAGAGTGGTCGGATGAGGAGGAGGAGGATGTGGAAGAGTCGGGATGCAGGGGGGCGGGCAGTGACGCAGAATGCGCCAACGGTGTAGGCAACGAGGAAGAGGAGGGGGAGGAGGAGGTAGGCAGCTGTGTGATTCCGGAGTCTCTGCTGTGGAAGAAAGGTGCACGGTGGGGTGACACGGACTCAGAGGATGAGGACGAGGAAGAGGAGGAGGATGGGAAGGAGGAGGAAGAGGAGGAGGAAGCAGAGGGGGCAAGGGAGCATTCGGGGTGCGCTGAAGCATTCGGGGGGGAAGGTATTGAGCAAGGATTGGCGCATGCGAGCATGGGCGTGCAGGAAGGGTTTGCCATAGCTACAGGGTGCACTGTCAGTGATTCCGTGACAGGGGGCGAGGAGCAGTTTGAGTTCGATGAGGAGCCTGATGTAGAGAGTGCATCTTACCGGCATCACTACCAGCAGGGCCTCAAGCAGCAGCAGCAGCAGCCGCGCCTTGTTCCCCCATCTGCCTCCACGTCCCGCTCTCCCAGCAGCGACAGCAATCACAGCAATGACTGCGGGGATAGCACCACGAGCAGCAGCAATGGTGCTGGTCTGGGCATGCGGCAGCATGGCAGTGAGATGGATGACTTCCCCCCCATGGGAGTGGGCTCCATGAGCTCCTCCCCTCCCTCCTCTCTCGCCTCCCCGCCCCCGCCTGCCCTCGCCGCTGCAGCAGCTGCTGTACCGGACCTGGATCCCCCTCCTGCCGCTCCTCTGCTCTATGCTCTCCACGGCTCCCGTGCATCGTCGCCCTCATGGCACACACCCCCGCAACCAGCAGACGCACCACCAGCACGGGTGCATGCTGGTCGGAGCAGTGAGCCCGCTACCTCCCTGCCTGTGCTGTCATCTTCGCCCGAGCCTGCAACAGCCCAGCCTGTCCCCGTGCCCGCTGTGGCCCACCACTTCATTGCCAAGTCCACCCGCCTCGGCTCGTCCTACGCCCCTCCGCCCCGCCACCTCGCTCGCCCTCTCTTCCGCAAGCCCATGGCCGCCCTCCCCCCCCGCACGTCCGCACAGGCCTCGCACACTGCAGCGCCTGCTGCTGTGGTGGTGCAGGCGGGGTTCAGTGGGGCGCTGGGTGCAGGTGGGGGCAGCGTGAGTGGTATGGGTGGCGCTGCTGGCAGCAGCGGTGGCAGCGGGTCCAGCGCAAGGAGGGCAGTTGGTCGCTCCAAGCTTGGCAGCACCAGCAGCAGCAGCAGCAGTGGCGAAGAGGGAGGTGGCGAGGAGGCGAGTGGTGAAGGCACAGCAGGTGGTGGGGTGGGCAGTGGGACGCAGCAGAGGGCCCTGCAGCAGAGGCACAGCTCGAAGCAAAGGCGCAGCAGCGGCCATGTGAAGGGCTCAAAGCAGCACGGGTGGCAGCAACGGGGGCAGGCGCAGGGCGGAGTGGCACTGGACCCTCGGGAGAGTGAGGCGGGGGATGAGCTGGGAGCGCAGCTGATGGAGCTGGGCGAGCTGGGTGTGCGGGCGTGGCAGGTGTACCAGGAGGTGCTCGTGGCGCTGCTGGACGACCTCATCCTCAGGAGGAGCGGCGAGTCCGTCTCCAACCGCCTGCACTTCGGCACTTCCTGCCAGTTCTAGGGGGGCTTTCATTGCACCCATGATGCTCCAGTTGTGCAAAAGCGTGTGACATGGTGCCATGGGTCCCATCCATGTTCCATCTCCCGTCCCGTCCGGTTACCTTGCTGCCCACACTATGCTATGTACAGTTGTCAGCGGCGCATGCATACTCAAAGCTTGAGTGCTTGACTGGTGTGTGGCTGGGCTGTTTGATGATTTGACTAGGTGATGCTGTGGCTAGGTTGGTTGCTTCCTGGCTCGTGGCTCTCGATGTTTGAGCTTTTAGTCAGGTGTATGCTGGTTTTATAGGTACTGTATGAGTTGGGATTCTGTGTGGCTTGTGGTGCTTGCTATGCTAACGTTAAGGTTGTGAAATTCCGTTGTTAGATGCCATTATCATGTCTTTACACTGTACAGTCCTAGTCATCTGTACGATAACATCCAGACTCCCCAAAGTGAATCTGCAGATGACACATGATTGACACGTGGTTTCAACGCAATGCCTGAACACGACCCCCGAGTCCCCACACTTGTTCAGGTTGCGCCCACCTGAAGTTTCCCTTCCCGCAATATGCGGCAACTATCCTGAAGAACTTCTATGGCTGCCCGAGCCACCAGCCTGGCCATCATAAAAAGGATGTCGAGTGTACACTCGATGAACAGGCTTTTCGTTTCGTCATTATTGCTGCGGGGCGAAATTCAACCCTGGCAGCAACAGATCCACCGTCATCCACAGCTCCCGCGCGCAGCGGAACGCATTTTTACCCGTCTGCGCAGCTGTGCGGGACTTGAATGACCTGCCTCCCCCTCCCACCCCACCCCCCCGCCCTCCACCCCCCCTCTCCTTCCCTGACCGCATGTCCTCCGCGCCTTGTCCCCGCCCGGCTTTCCTCCTTCCCCGCGACGACTTTCCAGACCGAACAGTAGTAGCAGGTGCTGCAACGCAACTTAGTCGCAGTGCGGCAGCAGCAGGCTTGGAGGGCGCCATTGCAGCACTTTACATTTCTCGTCGTGCCTTCTGCTCAAGCCACCGCCAGCAATCCGCCATAATCCTTCTCTCCTGTCCTATCAGTCGACTGCGTCTATCGGTCATCTGTTTTTTTTCGCGGATCATTGCTCCGGCGACGCTTTTTCGCTGTAGTGACGTCAACGTTTCAAGCGACCAGCTTCCCAACTTTGTTCATTGTCTGGCGTTGTCGCGCCGCACCGACATGGCCGAGGTCAGCATTCCGCGCCAAGTTTGGCCACATCCAATTTCTCGTTTTTTTAGTTTATTTCTTTAGATTGTTGGAATCATTTTCTTTTTGTTCCTTCTTTCTTTCGCTTAGAAAACATCGACCTGTTGTCGCGAAATTTGTTGGGGCGTGGCTGTTGTGAGCGTCGGCTGGTGCTCTTTAACGTCTGTCTCGATCGTGAGACGGGGGCCAGTGCGGCGCTCGTTACTCGCCAGCAGCCGTCTGCTCGCGACTGCGCAACGCCACGCCTTCGGCCACTCTTGCCAGTCCTCGGTCGTTTTGGCGCTTGCGCGTGCTGACCTCCTTTTGCCGCTCGTACGCGGTTCGACTTGGGATGCGTTGTTTCCCCAAGCGGGATCCAATCATCCAGCGTCACTTCCTCTATCACGCTCGCTCGCACTCACGCGCGCCCGACATGTTGAATTCGATCTTGTGTTCCTCCATGCGCTTCCATCTGCGCGCGTGGAATTCGCAGTCATCACTCGCGAGCAAGTTTAAATACAAGTTCTCACACTAGTTAGTGCTGACTTTATTTCGTCGTCATCTGTGCGCCACTCACCGCGTTTCTCTCCCCCTCGGCCCCCCTCCCCCCCCCCTTCCCCCCCCGGTCCTCCTCCCTTCCCCCCCCGGTCCTCCTCCCTTCCCCCCTCCGCAGTACAACCCCTACGACTCCTCTGCCGGGCATCCCTATGGCGCGCCTCCTCCCGGCCAACCCGCCGGCCCGCCTCCCCCATATGGCGCTCACCCCTACGGCGCTCCCCCGCCCGGCGCTCCCCCCCCCGGCGCCATGGTGCCCGCCGCGCCGTACGCGATGGGGTACCCGCCCGCCCCGCCCGGACCCGCCCCCGGGTCTCCCAAGGTGCGCGCAGTAGATCGGGAAAGGAGTGAGAGGATGGTAGGGGGAGCGAGGAAGAGGGGAAGGAAAGAGAGGGGAAGGGAAGAGAGGGGAAGAAGAAAAGAGGAGGGCGCTATGTAGAGAACGAAAGCGAGGCAGGAGTGCGTTTGAGAAATTCGTGATCCATGCCCTGATAAAGTGTGTCTTTGTGCGCTTCGTGGTTGGGTGTGTGTGTGCGCGCGCTCACGCATGTGTGCCATGCGTGCCATGTGTGTGCATGCGTGTGTGTGTGCGCGCGCATGGCCATGCGAGCAGGTGAGTGCAGCGGGTGACAAGTTCCTGTACGCCTCGTCCAAGTGGAACGACGTGTGGGCCGCCATTCTCTTCATCCGTACGTACCGCCAACCAATTGCTTCGCTCCACGTAACTCTTGTGCCTCCTCCCTGCACCCCTGCACCCCTCCTCTCCCCACCCCCTTCCCCCACCCCCCCCCCTCCTCTCCCCCTCTCCCTCTCTCTCCCATCCTTGTGCCCCCAAATATATTCCAAGCCGCCAAGCTGTATGCTGCGTTGCCCGCCCCGCCTCGCCTGCCACTGCACGCCTCTCCATCCCACCTCCCGCATCGACTCATCCATCGCCTCCCCTTCTCCCTTCTCCCCACCCCTTCCCCCTTCTCCCCTCCCCTTCCCCCTTCTCCCCTCCCCTTCCCCCTTCTCCCCTCCCCTTCCCCCGTCTCCCCTCCCCTTCCCCCTTCTCCCCTCCCCTTCCCCCTTCTCCCCTCCCCTTCCCCCTTCTCCCCTCCCCTTTCCCCTGTCTCCCCTCCCCTTTCCCCTTTCTCCCCTCCCCTTTCCCCCTCTCCCCCTCTCTCCCCTCCCTCCCTCCCTGCCATCCCTCTGCCCCCCTCTCACCCCCCCCCTCCCTTCCTCCTCTCCCCCCGCCCCCCCCCCGTGTCGGCTCTGTTCCGTTGTGCCGTGGGCGCGCTGCCCCCCCTGGCGTGCGTGGGGCGCGCAGTGCAATTCCTGGCGGTGCTGGTGTTCTCCGTCGTGCTGGGCGTCAAGGGCATCACCGCCTCGCAGCCGGGCCAGCCCCCTGAGGGCGCCTACAACGTGCACTACTCCTTCTCCGACTACGCGCCGCAGTTCGCCGCCGCAGCAGCCACGGGGCTGGTGTTCGCGCTCGTGTGGCTGCAGCTCATCAAGCTCATGCCGCGGTACGCTGCCCTGCCCTGCCCTGCCCTGCCCTGCCCTGCCCTGCCTGCCATGCGCCGCACTCACAGCTGCCGCGTGCACTGCACCACCACTAGGGGCAGTGCCATGCCGTGATGCATGGCAATTGGATTCAGGGGTGCACATGGAGAGGATGTTGTGAGCTGAAGACATCCAGGGAGGGAGTTGGCCTTGCCATGCGTTTGAGCCACTCATGCTGCCATCCGTTTTACTCCCCTTCATCCCCCCTCCCCTCTCACATTCCCGCTCCTCTCCCCCCCTTTCCCGTTTCTCTCCCTGCCGCCCGCCCCCCTGGGCCGTGCGCAGCACAATGGTGCACATAGCGCTGTGGTTTGGGTTTGTGGCGCCGGTGGCGGTGGCGGTGGTGGTGTTTGTGTACGGCACGGCGCCCGTGTGGTTGGGCGTGGTGCTCTGCCTCACCGCGCTGCTGCAGCTGCTCTACATCTGGCTCGTGCGCCACAGGTGCGCACGCACCCACACACGCATGCATGCATGCATGCATCACACTCATGGATGCGCTCTCCCGCTCTATCTCCACCCCACTCTCTCACTCTCTCGTTCTCTGGTGCATGCACGCACACGCCTATGCAGAGCGGTATACTGGGCCATGAGCTCTCACTGCCTCACACACCAGCAGCTGTGCTTGCTAGGCCTAAGCCATGGCTGCTCCTTCTTCTCCCCCTCCCCCCCCTCCACCCCCGCCCCTGTGCGCGCCAGAATCCCGTTCTCGGCGACAATTCTGAAGCACGCGGTGCACGTGGTGAACACGTTTCCGTCCACCATCTGGGTGGCGTACCTCTTCCTCTTCCTCAGCCTCGTCTGGACTGTCATCTGGGTCTTGGGGGTCTCGGGCGCCATGTCGCTGGTGAGCCATGTCGCTGGTGAGCCGTGTCGCTGGTGAGCCATGTCGCTGGTGAGCCATGTCGCTGGTGAGCCATGTCGCTGGTGAGCCATGTCGCTGGTGAGCCTCTCTCTGCCGCGATGGCGTCATGTGCGCTGTGGTTCTGCTCCATAGCATCTCAACCCAGCACCATAGAGCATCATGCAACCTTCCTACCACTGCTGATTGTGCATCCTTCCCCTGGCCTGTTTGTGGTGCTGTGTGCGGGGCAGAGCAACTCGTTTGGCGTGCTCATCATCCTCGTGCTCAGCAACTACTGGACCATGGAGGTACTCCACTCCACCTCTCCCCACCTTCCCATGCCCTGGGCCTGCCACCCTGTCACCACGGTTACCTGACATGCACTCAGCCTAATTGCTTCTTTTGATCCCCCAGATTCTCTTGAATTTATTGCTGCTTTCATGACTCGTCTCGTCTCCCTTCTCCCCTGCCCTGCCTCCCCCCACCGCCCTCGTCCCCCGCTGCCCGTGCAGGTGTTTCGCAATGTGGTGCACACCACGGTGGCGGGCACCACGGCCACCTACTACTTCCTGCGCCACAACATGCCGCCCAACCCCACGTCCTTGGCCCTGCACCGCGCCGCCACCAAGAGCTTTGGCTCCATCTGCTTCGGCTCCCTCATTGTCGCGCTCATCCAAACCATCCGCTTCATCGTGCGTGCTGGAACAAGGGGGGGCGGGGTGTTGAAGGGGAGGGGGGGGGGGGGAGTGGAAGAAAGGGGGGGAGAATGGGGGGGTTGTTTTGTGTGTTTGGTGGGTGGGAAAGGATGAGTGTGGGGGGTGTGTGAGGGGAAAAGGAGGAGGGTGTCGGTGCAAGGGAAGCATAGGAAGGTAGACCTGGCAGCAGTGAAATGTTTTCCTCGTTCTGTACGCATTTCTACTCACTCCTCTGGCCTTTTTACTTCCACTCTTATCCGTCTCTTCCCCTCAGGTGGCAGCGTTGGCAAATAACGACGACGGGGGCAACTTCATAGCGTGCTGTGCGCAGTGCATCCTCGCGTGCATTGAGGCCATTGTGGAGTTCTTCAATAAATACGCCTACATTCAGGTGCGCACTCTCTCACCCACATTCACTCCTTTCTGCTCAAACACTGACCCTCACTCCAAGGTACATATGTGGACATTTGCTCCCCTCCCACACCTTTCCCTTCATCCCTTGCCCGCCCCCTCCGTAGTCCCGTTGCAGTCCCGTCTTCCCAGAGGCTATCTACTACTTGACATGCTCCTCACCTCTTCCTACCACCTTCCACCCTCTGCACCCTGTGCCGCCCCCACCCCCCCTCTCTCCCTCTGTAGATAGCGATGTACGGCAAGACGTTTATCCGCGCGTCCAAGGACACGTGGGAGCTGTTCAAGGCGCGCGGCGTGGACGTGCTGATCAACGACGACCTGTCGGGGGGCGTGCTGGGGCTGGGCATGTTCATCGGCGGCGTGCTGGCGGCGCTTGTGGGCGGGCTGCTGTCGCTGAACAAGGCGGTGGACCTGCTGGCCGCCGTCTCCATCCTCAGCTTCATCATCGGCATCTTCCTCGTATGTTCCCACTGCATTGCGTGCCCCTTGAGGGGGTGGGTGCCTAGAGTGCTCAATGGATCACTGGTTGGCTCACGCATGAATTCCCTGCGTTGGGTACGCTTCTCGTTTATAAGATGCCGGGAGTGGGTGACTGATGGGGGACAGCATCGCACCGCACCCATAGATATCCACGTGAGTTGAGCTGAAGGTTGATTGCTGGTCCTGCTGTTGCCGGCGGTGCAACAGTTGAGGGGAAAAGCTTTTTGCTAGGTTCTCTGGGTCGTCCTTGACCCTCTGTTTTGTGACTTGTCAGCCTCCTCGCTGCTCACCCCCGCCATGCATGTGTTTCTCGCGCGCCCTGCTGGCAGACGGGCATGACGCTGACGGTGGTGGACAGTGCGGTGGGCACGTTCTACGTGTGCTATGCGGAGGACCCCGCCACGCTGCAGCAGAACGACCCCGTGCTGTACAACAAGGTGCAGGAGAGGGACAGGGAGATCAGGGACACGCGCACCCGCCACGACGCACAGACAGCTGCCAGGCAGGCCGCCAGGCAGGCTGCCAGGTAGGGCTGCTGGACGCAGGGAGATGCACAGCAAGCGCGGGACGAAGGAAGTTACTACTATTGCACGTAGGAAGAAGGGAAATGGTGGCTGAGTGGTGGAGAGCACTTGATTTGAAGGCATGTTACTGGCTCTGGGCGTTTCTGCATGCTGCTTCATATTTCTTGTCCAGATCGTTTTCGATCAGAACTTTGATGGTGCCACGGGATTTTCCAGAGCTTACCGAATGTTCAGTTAATGAATGCACTCATGATGGACCAACATCCTCATTGGTTTTGGGGAGCGTGGGCATTGGGCAACCAGACCTTTGTCAGTGTTGGTTTCTGAAGCGTAACACTACACTCGAGGAAGATCGTAACGGGTACACGAGTCAACGGAGGTTGCACGAGGGGTTGGACAAAGAACGCGAAAGGACTCGAAGGGTCGCAACTGGAGATTGCGACTGACCGTTACAACATCGCGGATGGTAACCGAAGCGACAATCGAGTCGCTGTGCAACTCGATAACCGCTCCTGCAACTGTATTCTACAACTGCTTTCTTATTCTCTATATATTGCTGTATGTTTGTTTCTTTAATCAATCACTTGTTCTCATATACTAGTACAAGGATTCAAATACTCAACTTCCGCTGCACTACTCAAGTCTCATTCTTCAACTGGGACTTAGTCTCTGGAAAGATCCTAAGGGCTTTTCTCAGCCCAACATGGTTTGAGAGCTGGTCAGAGACCAAACTCCCAGCAACCAAGACATTCAACCCGGCAACTCTGGATTGCATACTTCAGGGCTGCAAACCGAGACCGGCGCTGCTCAAGAAACAACAGGTAGAGCACCGGAAATGGTGACCCCATCACCCTCTGCTGATGGAGGTTGCGCATCTCCTGGGATACTTCAATGGGTCCCTGCCATTCCCAAGCAACGGCACTGCAAAGGAGCAAGAAATATTTACTTATCAGTCGCTGATGGCGTACACAGTTCTCCTGCGGAACCTGTCACCACAAGAACAGCAGAGCATCAGAACATATCGGAGCTATGGAAACTCCACGGAACTCGCATGGCATCATCTCAAGTGTCTCTATCAAGCAAACGACAGCGTGACACAAAGCAGACTCATGCAACAACTGACAACAATACAGATGAAGACAGGGGAAAAGGCGATGCAGTATATGAGTCGCTGCTAGACCCTCCGCGACCGCCTGCTTCGGTGCGGAGGAACAATCACTGAGGAAAGCTTCGTGACGCTTGTCCTCGCCGGGCTCGGACCAGAATGGAGAACCACACGATCGCTTCTTCGCGCCCACGGAAGAATCCCAGAGATGAACCTCTGCGCCGAGCTTCACGCTGAACAATAGGAGATGGACCTGTTCGAAGAACGACAACCAAGGAAGCAACAGCAGTTAGTTTTCTACACTCAACGAAGGAACGACAACAACTACAATCGACGCGGCAAGCAAGATCAACGCGACAACAGAGGACTCACCTTTGTGCCGCCGTTCTGCCACAACTGTCAGACTTCTGGACATTCCAAAGTCAACTGCACACGTCCTCGTGTTTATCGTCCAGTAGACCCACACGTCGCCTCCACTCAAGAAAGCCCTCCAAGGCGCCCTTCCACATCTGCACAAGGGACACCGAACATCATTAACTGCATGGTACACATCGACAACTGCGCACCCGGATCACCACCCACTTACGCACCAGACGAAGAAGAACTTCCGCCGCCGCGCTCACAAGGACTTCAAGTCAACCCGACATACGCTGCGGTCGCCAACGCCGAACCCACCGGGCGAAACACCTGGTTCTTGGACAGCTGCTGCGGTCAACACATGTGTTCTTCCGGACGCTTCGTGCAACGAGAGCGACGCCTCAACCGCGACGTCATCATCACCGTCGCCAACAACGAGAACCTGAAAACAAACAGACAAGGAGTGGTTCAATTACAATCCATGGAGACAAACGTTATACTTCAACTCAACAAGGTCCTCATCGTCGACAACTTGGGATACAACTTACTAAGCGTAAGCCAGCTAATGGCAAAAGGGATTCACCTGGAGTGCGACTCCTACTCCAACGAGTTTCGCCTTTACCACGGAAAGGGCGGTCTCTTCATCGGTCGTGCTCTCCTGAAGTCCGGCGTCTTCGTGTTAGACTTCGTCCCCGACCGCGGTACTGCCGACAGCGACGGAATCGTGTCGTTCGCCGCCTGGACACACCCGCCGGATCTTGACCCCGACTTTGACCCGGATGGATTCTGGCACTCCAACACCATACCTGCAGCAGAGAGAACACGAGCATTAGCAGTCATCAGACAAGAAAGACAAGTACCAGCAAGTGTCCCTTCCCAACCATCACCTGCAGTAGCCGCAGCAGAACAAAAAGTACCACCACCAGCGATCCGAGGACCACCAACCGAAGCAGATCAACTTATGCCCATCACACGAGAAGTCTGTCGAAGTCCCGCCACAGTCGTCGCGTTCTTCTCCAACACCGACATATACCACCGTTCGCCCGGCCATCGCGCTCTTGACGACATCTGGCACCAACGACTCGGGCACCCTGCAAACAGTACAATACTGCAAACCATCCAAGCCGAAGTGTTAGAACGCAACGCTCTCCTAACAACGAGCGGCCAAGAACTTCGACGACCACGCGCACGGTGCTTTACGTGCCCCGAAGCTGATCTTCCTCACCAACCTTTCCCATCTCATCACAACCCAAGCGCACCTGCATACACACCGATGGAAAAAGTCTACAGCGACATCTTGAACATGCCTCGAGAAGACACTGAAGCCGACTTCAACTATGTCATCACGTTTATCGACGCAGCAACAAGATACGTTTGGCACTACAACCTCAAGACACGCGATCAAGCCTTCGACGCCTTCACGACATGGCTACCCATCGCCGAACGAGAATCACGAACCAAGCTCAAGAGCTTCCAGTCAGACGGTGCACTGGAATACCAGTCACAACGCTTCAGGACCTATCTGGCGGAACGAGGAATCAGACGCCTGGTGTCTCTGCCCTACGCTCACCAGCAGCAGGGGGTCGCAGAACGCATGAACCGGACCTTGCAGACGACGATGCGAAAGTTGCTCCTGGGGATGAGACTGCCCACCACACTGTGGCCAGACGCAATGACACATGCAGTCCACCTGCACAACCTGCTGTCCTCGTCATCGCTTCCCAACAACGCATCACCGCACCTGCTGTGGACACAAAAAAGGGGCAGCACAAAATTACTTCGGGTTTTCGGCTGCATGGTACAGTACAGACCTCACACAGCCCGAGCAGGACGCTTCACTCAACGAGCTCGGTGGGGACTACACCTCGGCATCGCAAAACATTTTCACGCATGGAAAATCCTCGACATACAAGACAAAAATACAGTGGCATCACGTGATGTTATCTTCTACGAGCGACTGACGCTGCAGCATTACCTGGACAACATTGCCAACACACACGACCCCACCGACGGCTTCGCGGGCCTTCGTTCCTTCGCCGACCGTGCTGCCGAGGCTGACGCAGCAGAAGAAGACGTACCTGGAGCCTCGGAAGCTGCCGGACCACTCCCTTTCTGTTCCGTACCTGTTCCACTCGACGAAGACAATCCTCTCGATAGTAACAACCTCGACACCTTTTACCACTTCGCTGACCAAGGTTACACTACACCCCACCCGGTCGACACAAATGTTTCAGAACGCATCGGCCCCAACTTCTTACCTGATCCAGAAGACGGTGACGAAGCAGCCTACTCCGGGAATGAAAATTCCCCTCGACACACACCCACGGGACTGCAGATCCTCGGCCTCTGGGTCTCCGTCCAGCATCCACCGCCGCCATCTCCGCGCGAGCCCTCGACTCTGTCGCAGGCTCTGGGGGGGGAACATAAGACGAAATGGAAGGAGGCGATGGAAAGGGAACTAAAGGCTCTGCAAGACCGAAATACATGGAAGCTGGTACCTGCAACAAGCATCAACGGGAAGAACGTCCTCTCGGGAAAATGGGTGTACCGCATCAAGACCAACGCGGACGGCTCCATCGAACGATTCAAAGCTCGATGGGTCGTACGAGGGTTCGATCAACGATACGGAACCGACTACACAGAAACTTTTGCCCCAGTCTCCCGTCACACCTCCCTGCGCATCCTACTCGCCGTCGCGGCCACGAAGAAACTACCACTGCGTCAAATCGACGTCGCAAACGCTTTCCTGTACGCACCTGTGGACGCCGAGATCTTCGTCGAGCAGCCCCACGGATTCATCGACGACCCTACGAAAGTATGCCAGCTGATAAAATCCCTCTACGGGATCAAACAAGCTCCGCGGTTGTGGCAGCAGCATCTTCACGGCCGCCTCGTCAGAATCGGCTTCCTACAGCTGCCGCACGACCAAGGCATGTATCGACTTCAGAAGGAAAAAGCCTTTATCCTTCTCATCGTCTACGTCGACGACCTGCTCTACATCGGCTCCTCTACCGACATCGCCATCTGGTTCGAAGGGGAGCTGAGAAGTGACCTGACACTCACAGTGTCAGACACAGTGACCCAGTACCTGGGACTGAATGTCGTCGAAGACAACTCGGCATTTTACCTACACGCTGGAAAATACGCAGGCGTTGTCGCGAAGAAATTCGGGCTAACGCCGACTACGGCCACGACTCCCCACCGCTACGGGAACAACAGCAACACCTCCGTGAAACTCCCCGCGAAGCAAATCCAGGAGTATCAGCAGAAGCTCGGCTGCCTACTATTCGCAGCAGTAACCTGCCGACCCGACCTATCTTATAGCGCGAGCCAACTGGCGACGCATCTGAAGCAACCGGAACAAGAAGATCTCGAGGACTTAATCGGGCACTACTCTACTTCATCTCCACGCCGACGACTGGACTTACCTACAGTAAAGCAACGACATCGTCCGTACAACTACTCGGATACGTCGACGCCGACCACGCGGGAGACAGGGAAAACCGACGATCGAGAACGGGCTACATCTACCGACTAGAACCTATCGGGACTATCTCCTGGCAGTCGAGCAAGCAGGAACTAATCGCACTATCTTCGGCTGAAGCAGAATATACCGCCCTCTGTACTGCGACCAAGGAAGGACTCTACCTACGAGAGTTGCTCGAGGAAGCGAAGATCGCGACCCTGCCCGTCTTCTCACTCCTCTGCGACAACCAATCTGCGATCAAAATCGCGAACAAGATGAAATCGCGAAGGGGAGACTTCAACTCAGTTACTGCCCTACAACAGAAATGGCCGCAGACTACCTGACGAAGAAACTGGCGAAGGCGAAGTTCGATTACTGCATGATGCTGACCGAGCAGACAAACGTCACCGGATCTGAACACGTCAGCAGTCCAGAAACGAAGGGGAGTGTTGGAAATATCTCAAAGGACTTAAGCGTTTCTGAAGCGTAACACTACACTCGAGGAAGATCGTAACGGGTACACGAGTCAACGGAGGTTGCACGAGGGGTTGGACAAAGAACGCGAAAGGACTCGAAGGGTCGCAACTGGA